CGGTACCAATTTCTTGCAGGACGTTTGCAGAAACAGAAAGGCCAGGCATCTGCACGACGGGTAGAAGGATGGGATGGAAACGAAAACGAAGGTGTGAGACTTTCCGCTGACCTAAGCACGGTCTCAAGCGTGCATTTCATCGTAGACACCTCTCGCAAGTCAAAAGAGAGCGAATCGAGAAAAGAAATGGATACAAAAACTACCAAGAATTTCAAGTGCTCACGTGAGCTTATATCGAGAACTGGGCCCAAAGCAACAGCTGAGATTAGGAGAAGATTCGGTGACGTCAGGCGACGTATATAACGTTAACCTAATTACTGTTAAACGTTTCGTTTTTTTAGTTAGTCTTCAATGTATTAATGGCTAAGCTCCATTTTTAGCAGCTTCTGCTGTTGTTGAGACTTGATAAACGGTCGTGCGCTTGAAACAGCGCTAGGGACGCTCGGTTAATAAAGATGATACGTCGTAACGGCATTTCTGAGCGAGTATTCGCTCGAAACTTTCGGATTATAGTAAAGCAAGGAGGAACGCATGATGACGACAGACAAAGACGGATTATTTGTTAAGGATACAATTCAGTGTGTTAAACATCATTGTATTAAAATCTGACTGTTACGTAATCAGCTCATCGGTGTGATCAGCTATTATGGCAAGATTGATGACCAGAAGCAAAAGATAGGTCCTTTATTTGCTCAGTTACTAAAGGTACTTTGATGCCATGAGTTCATTTCACAGAAGACTTAACTAAACACGATAACGGTAATGACGACTGGTTGTTGCTTATTACTACTTCTAGTCAACAGAGTCGCAAGTAGCAGAACGTTACTGGTAGAATGAGACAATGAACCAAATTATTCTGGCTGTTGGAAGTGAGTGCACATCTAACTGTACTCGACTCGTATCAGTGTATCATCCTCCGTCAACGAATGGTGATTATTACATAATGTAAATGTGTATTTTAATGGGTTATTCAATTTAACACGAATTAGATCATAATGTTTTTACTAGATCTACTGACTACTAGATCTAGTGACTAGTTATATGACAGCACTAAAAGCAAAAAAACAACATATATATGAACAACTAATCTTATTAAATAATTATTCAGCACCCTTCCCTGCCCTAAAGATTCCGTATGCTCAGCTAATTTTAGCCTAGTTTACGAGATGTTAAAAGAGCCCATTGCGTCTTCGAACCGTTTCCACTCAAGCCGCACGCAGAGATATCTGGGTCTGAACGTAGCCCTGAATAGAACAGCCAATCCATGATTTTCTTCTTTCCCCTTCTCCGGTGTGTTCCTTCGTAGTGGAGAGTGTTTACTCTCTGAATATGTTACTGTAGGACTTCTCTTTCAATCCGGCGTTAGGTATAGGTCCGAGCTGTTTGACGGTCGCGCAATCCTCGATGTTTTCGGCAACGAGCACCGCGCCACTAGCGTCATCCATCTTCTCCGACAGAAGGCAGTAGCTCTGGGCCGATCCGGGCCTAATGTGTACTCTGCTTAGGCCTACATCGCTGAAGACTACTTCGTCCACTTCTAGTTCTACTATTATTACTCCGCACTACTCCTCCATTCGTTGACATGTTGCACATTAATTAAGCCTGAATGCCTCTGGAGAGCGACCGTACCTCTGCTGGCTGCCCGGCTAATCGGGGCTCTGTTACGCGTATTCGGGACGTCGCCAAAGGCCTAGCCGAGAAGGAGCTCGGGGCGGTTCAGAGTTACAAAACTGACTTGCCAACGTGTGTGCAAAATTCGGCCTCTTAGTCTGCTTTTCCTGAGCTGTTTTATATTCATTGAAATATCTGCTACAAAAATAGGTGACAATACTTCTCGACCCTATTTTCGGCTGTTTTTGCAAAATCATATACGACCATATCCTGATTACGCATACATTCAGCTGAAAATTAGCCACCGTCTGTTTATACTATCCGAGACACAGTTAGTTACATCCCAGCAGAAGATGGACATCATGGTCCGTTTGGATAGTTGAGGGAATGAATAGGTGTTCCCGTGAAAGCTTAGTAGGTAACGACTGCCAATCTTAGGGACATGCTGCGGCACGGATCCGGGCATAAACACACGGTTCGTTCCGTGCTGGAAGCCAGCCGTCTGATGGCGATAGCGGACGTAAAACTCGAAACACAGAGGACAGTTGAGTGCACATCTGGACATCTACATCGTTGACGGCCAGCTATGTCGGTTGCGGGAGCTGCCGCTACATCTGTTATTCGTCCGACAGCAAATAGGCAACAATTAAGGGCGTCGCTTAATGTACATGATGTCCGCCGTTGGTGAATAACTTATCTGCTGTACTTCTGTCCATGAAAGGAACCAGTCGAACCTATAGGATCCTTATCTTCAGGTATAGGCAGTGCTGGAATGAATACTTTTAGGTCCAAGAGGACGCGGAAGCTAGCATTGTGCTCAGCTGGTGCATCCTTTTTCTCTCTATTTGGCACGAACTCGCTCTCCTCTGTAGACCTCTCGATCTCATACTTGCCCACTCGCCAGGTAATTGAGCGTTGACGTGGTCCTCCAGCTATCCATGATTTCCTAGAGTGTTTCAGTTTCCTGGCTAGCAGAGATGTCGCGTTGTGTTCAATGTCATCTGCGAAAAGCCGCTAGCTACATCAATTGGCCGGGTGTATCACGCAAAAACCTTCTTCGTTCCCTGCTCATCTCGTTAAGCTTACGAGGCATTTCGAGACGGCGCACATCAGCTGGTGGACGACAAGGCCGTATATAGGTCGCGTTATGTATCGCGTCAATCTCACGTTCCTTCCGCTAGCCGGTCCTCACCTTTCCAAAGGGGTTAGGCGGCTCGCAGAAGAAGCCCCTTGTAATCAGTCGATGTATGAACAACTTTATCAAACGATAAAGCCACGTTTTAGTAACCCATTGGGACCCAGGAACCGACAACGGCAGCCAGCGTACACTTCGCTAACACTGTCGACTCCGTCTCGCCGGCTGGCGAAATTGTTGACAAATCATTATCATTTCCGAGACATAGGCGCCCTCCGTCTTTCAAGATGATAAGAAACCCATTGGTAAGGGTACCGCGGTGTTGAGGGGACCAATATTTACGCGCGATTCTAGATAGAATCGTCCAGTACGACGCGCAGAATACCACGCCACGCCACCTGCTGCAACTGTTCGGAAGAAACAGCCATCGGGCTGCAGGGTTGCTTCCGTACCTTCGGTCGCTGCTCACGTGGGTGCTGAGCTAAGGTTGTTCAATATTCCCAGTTTGTAGCATCCGGAAACAGGGACAATAGTAGCAGCAACAAAAGCAGTGGTGAAGAATCGGTTAGACTTAGGTACATAGAGGTAAACCGGCGGTCCTGCGAATTGTCTACAGGAGGATCTGGCGTTGCTTTTCTAACGATCTGTGCTCTCGGAAGCGACTGAAAGTGGACAGCAGGCAGGCGGATGGCCGAAGATGACGAGTCCATATAGACGAAGGAATACAAAAAGCAGAAGCAGCAAAGCAAGGCAAAGCAAAAACAGAAAGTAGACGGTTGGCAGACAAGATGAAGCTAGCTTTGTGGGAAGTGGACTGGAAACAGACACGACCCTTTAGGGAAAACGAGAGGTGGGAAGTGACAAAAAGAAGCCGAAATATAAGAAAACAACAAATAAGGAGGTCAGCAACCAGCGGGGTGCAACTGCTTGTCTAGGCAACTCAACGAGTGGATATGAATGGGTTCTCTGACTTCCTCAGCATGTGCTGCTGCGTCCGACGTCCGTGTGCCGACAAATATAAATGTCTGGGTGTATGTCTTCGGCGCCACTGATTGGCTATCCTATAATCGATAGCAGTGCCTGCGGAAGACGAAGTTGGCCGGGAAAATTCCTTTTCCTGAAATGCGCATTAACGAACGAGACCGATATTAGCTCATTCTTGGCAATCTAACTATATAGCTAGTGTGGTCAAGGTCCTATCCCTACCCAAGCAGCGATCTCAGGATTCGCTTCGCTTGTACATCCTGACGACAGACTAAATTGTTTATTCTGACGATCCGAACACCAATCATTAACAAAACAGGTAGCTGATTTCCACTGAACCACTCCGCCCCCCCACAGATGAGAACTGGGAAGAAGATTTTCTAGATAGATTATAATACACTTGATTTGGAAACGACGGTAAATAGAAACCAAATTTATTTTTACTAATGGATCAAATGCGACCCGTGCCTTGGCTTTAGATGAATGCTTTTTGAACGGTACATTTCTTGCGATGGTAATAAGTTTAGTAATAGGTAACTGGGAAACACAAGAGTATCCTTAAGTTTGTTAAACACTACAAAATCACAATCGAGTCATATTTATGGGTTATCATTGGATACTATTTTACCACAATCAACTTTACATTTATAGGCCACACAGTGATCAAATGTGTGTTGCGCATGTTCGGCTAGCCTACAATCTTGACTAGTCTCGTACCTAAATCTGTAGTTACACAACTAAGAAATGCATATAGTATTGATCTATGTATATAACGTATAAATGCTTAAAGCACAAACATATACTGAAGGATATACTGTTTACGTGTTAAAAGCGCGGAACGCGGAATACAACTACATTGCAGATACAAGTATCTTCCTCCCCAGTATTTTATCGCAGTGCAATCTTGCACATGTTGCGGTCTGGGTTAGAACCCGGATATAGGCGCACTTCGTTTCGTGCTGGGAATCAGCCGTCTGATGGAATGCCTAACGATAATACTGGGCGCAAAACTGGAAACATAGAGCTACAGTTACCTGCTATTATTAGCAGATGTCGACGTTCACACGCCTACCAAAAAAAGCTAGCCAAAGCCATACGAAATATACGAGACGGACTCCTGCATATCGTACACGACGTATGCCGCTAAACAAAAGTAGACAAGCTCTGCTACTTGTCGCCGATTAGTCCTAAAATTGATTTAAAAAAAATGTGCCTAATAAACAATTCAACATTCAGTGATTGAACTATGTGTGTTTTTTTTTGTTTCTAGATGCGGTGCCTTGTGATAACGATAGCAGCAACGGTGGCAGCAACTGTCACCACTGCAGGTGCTACACCAGCCGTTGAGGAAAGGTGTGAGGAAATCGTGGTTCCTATGTGCAAGGGCATTGGATATAACCGCACCAGATTTCCGAATGCTTTCAACCAGGTAATAATGGGCGTTCAAGCAGCATAGAGAAGGCGCAGAGTCCAATATTAAAGGAGCGTTCTTATTTTCGCTACGTTTCAACGAGTATTTGATTTCGAACCCAAGTTCTATGCCACTGCTCATCTATGTATCTTCAAATTGTAGCCAATTTTATATAGCGCAGAGGAAATTCTTCAAGATGACAAAAACTTATTTTATACGCACTTCAATGGAAATACCCCGGTCAATAGAGTTGCATCAATGTATATCGAAGGCTGTGCTTTCTCTGTCCCCATAATGGCGCAGTAATCGCGTGTTTGCCTACGAAATTTAGTTCACGTGAAACGGTCTAGACCTTAAGGCTTCTAGGCCTAGACACATATTGATCCCTTGTTAAAAATTCGTATACCAACCGCCCGGTTTTTTAAAGCCCGTCTTTAGGTCCCACCCTGATAAATCCTGGAAACAGAGCTAAACAATGCAGCAGTAAAGCGTGTAGTAGAAGACACAGCTGAAACTTAACTATTAAAACGGATTAATGCTCTATCATTACTTCAACTTAAAGCACACGACAGCAAAGCAATTAATTGACATCTACAAAAACCTACTCAAGGCAATTTCAAAAAACCCGCCTCCGTTCTCACGGGGTTTTCGCTTTTGACATTGTTCGGTATATGTCCCCTGATCAAGCACTGCGCGGCTACTGTATACATGCATAGACTTGAACACGCGCTATAGATTATAGAAACTTATTTCTAAATATTCGCTTATACGTCTATAACGGAATAAAATAACTTCACAATATATCGATGCGCGCGTAGATCGGAACATACAATTTCCTTATGTTGAGATTTTTCTGTAATTTCTCTCATCATTCCCGCTGATTTAGAATCATCTCTGATCTATTCCTACACACAAGGATTACGAGAGTCATATCGCATGAGTAACAAGCTGGCTTATCATGCATTTAGAACGTGATTTAACCACCTGTTCGAAAACTTGCAGGACACCCAGGATGAGGCCGGTCTTGAAGTTCACCAATTTTGGCCACTTGTCGAAATTCAATGCTCAGAGGATCTGCGCTTTTTCCTCTGTTCAATATACACGCCAATCTGCATCGAAGGGTATCAGGGCAAAGTGCCCGCATGCAAGTCGGTTTGCGAACGGGCAAAGGTAGGATGTGCACCAATCATGCAACAATATGGCTTCTCGTGGCCGGATCGAATGGACTGCGAGCTCTTTCCCGAGTACGGTGATCCAGTTAAAATGTGTATGGACTCCAAGGAAGGTCAGCTGCCCATCGACAATGCATAAGGAGAATATGTCTAATAACGATGCTTAGCTAGGCTGGTTTGACTTGAATATGTAATTAATTGGCGATTATGGTTGGCCTTGTAATATTCAGTTGCTTATTAGTAGTACGTAAGCTAGTATATTTTCTGAAGCACGTGTAACTATGCAGAATTACTACCCATAATAGTGACAATTTTATGAATTGGTGTTGAATCCTTAATGCTCCATAATTATTAAGCGATTCCAATTGTAACATTTTCTGATTCCTCTATGCACTTACCAGTTCCTAACTAGGTTTAGAGGCATGTAAGTTGCAAAAGTATTGTTCATGTTGATTGGTGCTTAATGTTATTGTGCATGAATGAACACAATTACGACCCTGTTAAGAAGCATGAGATAGGAAGGATAAATTAAATTTTATGATGTTTCATTATGAAGTTAAAATAAAGCGTTGTTCTGTCTGTTTTGGCATCGTTGTTTGATCCTTTTCTTATGTACCAAAGTACACTGTTAGTGGTATTATTACCAAAATAAGAGTCACTGCATGAATTTCTTGTGAGAAAGTAAAGCCTCACCGAACTTTAGGCTTATAGACTTGCATTTTCAACACCGTATATAAAAAACCGCAAGAGGAAAAGTATTTGATCAAATTTTTCATAGGTTACTTTTATTTTATCTTAAATAGCATGGTATAATTAAATGTTAACTGAAACTTGCATGTAATGGACAAAAATATCATTTTGACTTCCCGATCTAAGAGCATATATACCAGATGCTAGCAATGCGATACTCGAACTTCAGGTTCCAAACACTACGTGTATACTTAATAATTGATAGACGCTACGTTGCTTATGAAAGGCGTTCACAAAAATCTCTCAAATTCATAGCTCTCTGATCGTTTTCTTATTTCAAGCCGTTTGCCAAGCCTTCTTCATCCCTCTGTTTCACGGCCGCTCCCAAGGGTAATCAGTGAAAACCAGAAATTTAAATTACCTTTTCCTGGCAGCTGTACCACTTGCGGCTGTCAGCCAAACATTAGATGGGCGGAAGCGTTTTAAAATTCTGGCCATCTAGCTCTATTCTTATGTTCTTCCTGGTTCTATTCTTATGCACTTAACACGGATGGCTTATAGCAGTTGCAAGAAGGCCATGAAGCAAGGGGAAAACAGAGAGGCAACCGAGCAGGCTCGGGGACCAGTTTGCCGAAAAGTTGGTTGGGCTTCCTTTGTGCAGGATCCCCGCTACACCGTTTCCCGCCCGTCTGCGTGAAAGGTATAGCTACCGCGGCCTGAAAGGGCGCGAATCGACATCGTCACCATTGCCTTCGCGTACAATAATCAATTAGGAGCCAAGATCTCCTTTAGCACGTCCACGAGCGTAGCACATAAGGGCATGCAAGGCAAGACTCGACGCTACCTTATTCTATTCAGCCATAAAAAGAGATGACATGGTAATATAATGATTAATCAGGCCAAATGGAAGATGCCAATCTTCACCGGGTAGGGCCGGTGGCAAGACGAGACGGGTTCTAAGGCTAAGAGTTGGGAAATCGTGAAATGGGAACTGCTGCAGAGCAAAAGGGATAATGCATAGAAAGACGTAAAGCTTCGCGAAGCTTTCGACGTCCATCGCTTCATTCATCTTTTCGCTGCGTATGAGTCCTCTTTGCGAGTATTTTCCACCAAATGGTTCCCCAGATTTTTGGGCCCTTCTATCCGATAACCGTTCGAATAGCAGCCTCTTACGTCTCCTGTCTTCACCTTCTTACTGATATCTATATATAGTAGAGCCTATTCGTATGGCGGTCCAGCCAGTATCCGTCACTTCCACACATTGCAATACCTGATTTTCCTCAGCGGTTTTAGGTGCCAACATCTCTAAAACTGCACAACAGCAGGGACATTCAGCAGGAACGATGTAGTAAAAACGCCGAAAATGAATAGGTAGAAAAAAAAAAAGGTTAAGAAAGATAGATTCCAGAGCTAAGTAGATAATCGGTCCTCATCATATCACTCAAATCCTGTTGTTTTTAACGTAAACCAACCGTCAAATGCTGCGCTGTATAGGCTCCAATTTTGCAGTGAGTTTCAAGCTAATATCTGTGAATAACGTTTCCTCGTCTTGTTCGTTTTGTTTGGACACTTTTGCTTATGCTTTTCTTTGTCTTCAATCGCTTTTCAGGAGAACGGCCCAAAAAAGTTGAGGAGCCGCGGCGTGGTGGAAAAAAATTGCCAGCGCCAGGAATCGTTGTCACCGACGTTGTCGCACTTCCGCCCCCTGGCGGCATCGCGGGTAACTGTTCGTGCTATTGTCAATCGCCAATGGTGAATACGCTGGCGCCCTCGTTCAAGAAGTTCGGCAAGCTAAAACTCCCGCAGTGCGCGCAGCCTTGCCGAAACATGTACTTTAGCAAGGACGACCAACTCTTCACTTACTACTGGCTATTGCTGTGGAGTGTCGTCTGCTTAGCTTCGTCCAGCACCACGATCCTTTCAGGCCTTATTGACTCATCACGCTTTCCCTATCCAGAACGGCCAGTAATCTACATCTCACTATGTTATTTCTTCATTTCAATCGGTTACCTCCTTGGTATCTATCTCGGTAACGAGCAGCTGGCCTGCGATGGGGCCTTGATCCGCTATTCGATCCTGTCGAACCTTGTCAACTCCCTTCCGTGCCTCACGGTATTCTCCTTCACTTACTACTTCATCATTGTGAGCTCCCTCTGGTGGGTGGTCCTCTCGATGACCTGGTATCTATCAGCGGCTCTAAAATGGAGCAGCGAGGCGATATCCGGCTACGCCGTCTATTTCCACATGTTCGCGTGGTTCTCGGGGGCTGGAATCATTTCAATGGTCGTCTATTTCGATGCCATCGATGGCGACTCCGTTTCGGGTCTATGCTTTGTCGGCAGTCAGAACTCGTTCAATTTGACTGTGTTTCTTATCATACCGCTATGCACAGCGCTGGGCCTCGGCGTCATCTTTCTTCTGATCGGATTCACGTCACTCTTCAAGATTAGAAAGATCATCAAAGCTCAGGGACAACACAAGGCGGAGAAGTTTGAGAAACTCATTGTGCGCATTGGAGTCTACTCTATCCTCTACGCCTTACCATCAACCATTGTGGTGGGTTGTCTCTTCTACGAACGCAATTACAAGGAGGTCTGGATGCACAAGTTAACCTGCCCATGCGAGCATGCCGATTCTGCGTGGAGCCGCCCTTCACTACATATATTTGTTGTTAAACACTTCATGTTTCTTGTGGCTGGCATTACGTCAGGATTCTGGATCTGTTCCGGCAAAACGCTGAACTCTTGGTGGAGATACTTCGCTGCTGGGAGTAACCCGCATCGGCCGCACATCAATCCGATTTCGCCACACCTCGACAAACATGGCTCATTGGGCACGTTAAGGACTACCCCCAGATTAGATCTTGCTGGAACCGGGAGCATCGCCAACTCTGCGACACTATCGAACGTATAGGTATACGAGATGGTTCTCAGAGACGCGCTGTAACAGTGGCAAAAAATTGTAAACTTATCAAAAAGAGGCCGTTTCGACCCGCAGGTAGCGCTTGGTGAAGAGTTGTAAACAACACATTAGAGTGCATCGCGCATCACAGTTGCACATACCATTAATTAAAACGACACTTATTCATTAATTTATACGAGAAACATAATAATATAGATGGTAAAACCATCAAATCATCTACTTACTGAAACGTCACTTGCGATAAAGGGAGGGGATCACAGCTGTTAACGTTGGTTAAATGCCGAAAAATGAGATGATGAACCACTGCGAATTGTCTCTGAGAACCGCGCCTGTTTGTTGGCCGCTCAGCCTGCATCTAGCTAAGAACGCGTAGATCATCGATATGACCAACTGATATATGTATAGATCGGTTTTCATTGATTTTTAGATAGATGCCAAGGGCTGCTAGAACTATTGGATGACTGACTTGCGACCGCGGAAAACTCTAGTCGTTTTCACATCGGCAACGCGTCGGTCATATCAAGAATTCACTCCCTAGGTGTCCTCACGAAGTCCGTGTGGTGGATTAGTGGGTAACGTATTTACCTGCTGATCTTGTTAGGGACACGTGGTGGTATAGGTTCGAATCCGGGCACGCTCCGCGCTGATCGAATGCCCTACGGCAGTGCCGGACGTGGATCTCAAAATATTTAGCTCTCCCAAACAATAGAACAGAGCTGCATTTAGAAGCTAGACAAAACGGCTAGAAAACTTCTGTTATACTTGAATTATGTTGGTAAGATGGCTGTCAAACTTTTTAGAGACAAGTTAAAGACATGTAGACCGTGTTTGGCATGAATAGAAACTCGGTACATTCATCGTGTATCGCATTTCGGTACGGACGAAAACATCGAGTCTTGAGGAAAAAAGGAAGTACTAACTGCGCAGAAGGAAATATTTACAGTTGTGTTTTACTACATGATGACAAGATCGACTTCATCTATTTTATGAACCGTCAGGGTGGTCGCACTGTTTGTGATGCAAGTGTGGCTGAAACGAACGTAATGCATAACAATGGAAAAGAAAATCAACAGAGATTGGAGAAATTACGTGGTCCGCGGATAACACTGCAATCCGTCTAAACAAATATACACACATACACACGCGGGACAGTGCTGTGGAAATTGTGACACGAAACACAATCCAGAAAAGCATCGTTTGTGAACAGAAACATAGATGGCAGGTCGTCTTTCTCTCGAGGCAAGGACAGAATCATTCTCACATTAATCGAGAGTAATATTTATTCAACTTACCACTGTAAATATGAATGAGGTCTGATTGCGTACCTTCCTATAGGATACGATGTGCAATTGCCAATATTTTCGACAAAGACGGTGCCATCTATATAGCCAGAAATAACTTTCTGATTGGATGCATGTGAAAGCAAATACTCATCCAGGGCCTTTTTGTTTGTTGTGAGCGCGCGCAAGGCCTGATAATGCAATACAATGACTCTTATCAGCGGTCACGAAGTAACGCTTCATCAAGACTAAAAAGCCTTCGGATGCGCTACCTCTACAACAGATTCCCTAGAAAATGACGAAACAAATATAGAAGTTCCAATAACCGAAATCCATTTACATATTAGAAGCACATTTACACAGAGAATACTAAGGGCGTACGAATAAATCTCAAGTAAATATAAACGACGGAAACGAAGTTAACTTCGTGTAACTTCCATGCGAAGTTGATAGCAGAAATAACAATCGTTCTCGCAACTGATTGCAGGAATAATGTACAGGGCTATGTGCTTCCCGTCGAAACATCCTTTGACTTAATCTGTTACCGTTAATTTACCACTGCTTGCGCAGAGCCAGTCATGCTTGTACGTGTGTAGAGTACAAGCGAAGGTCAGTGAATGCAATTATTCAGGTTGGCTTGATGCATCTTATGAAGACACCAACTGGTGAAGTTCAATCGATAATCTCGAACGATCTGCGAAGTATCGATAGGTAGTGTTCCTAGTTATTTCAGCTACCTATCTGTTACATGCTATATCATGATATTACCTACTGTAAATCTAACCTGTACGTTGTACTGAACCAGCAGCGGAACCTATATTCTGATGCACAAAATCACTGTCAACCCGCAGGGCATCATGTGTCATATTAACTAGTCCACTTTATGCAGATCCAATTGAGCCCGCTAACGCTCCGCGCCCCCGGTGGCACCGTTGGACCACCACTCTCTGTATAATAATTAGTGCAGTAACAATATATATATGACAATAAGGAATGCATTATATGCATTTTATACTTTTACTATGTCGTGATATTTTATATGGAATAATGTTGTAAGCATCATTTGAAACATTATGTGTAAATAAAACATACCATACTGTAATACTGTGACATCAGCAGCGACAAAAAACAAGCTTGTCTCTTATTTTTGGCTTACCATTAGCAAAATAGTGACTACTCTTCGAAAAGACAGTGACAGATCCATACTTCTCTTAGGTAGGTACGGTCTGTACTGTATGCTAGTTCGTCTAACAACACTCAGCGTCGGATAACGAAATCGTTATCCTATCCTAAGTAACCTTCCAGGGTTGGTTTGGAGCAACGACAATTTTCCATTTTCTAACAGACGCCTCTGCGGCTTTCATTGAAGACTCTAACTGCTATTGAAAGTTCGTATTCGAGACAATACGCAATAAGATAATCTGAGATTATTCAGATGAGAAAGAGTAATTGGAAGAAACATGCCATTTTTTACGGATCTCGCAGAGGTTGTCCCACGACCGAAGAGAAGTTGCCAATCTTTTTTCGACGTACTGCTACTAACCCATCACACGGTGGTCGCGTGCGATAACTCAAAGTTGGACTTCACGCGATTTTTCCTTGCTCGTTTGCTTGGTTGCTTGCTCAATAAGTGATCGGGTCAGTTCGGTGTCTCGTCATTCGTCTGACTTTCCTAGCTAGCCTTCATCGTTCCTCGTCGGAGTTTGCTGTTCGCACATAGACACTATAACCGCTGTTAGGAACTACCTTGATTGACGATCAACGCTGATGCAAAAACAAAAATAGCCGGCACTGCTGCGCTAAACGCTGTTGCTTCAGACGGCTGGTCTTCACCACGAAATGAAGCGAATTCAGGTCAGACCTAAGGCACCTCACGACTCCCTGCGCCTAGCAGCTAGACATACTACTACTGCAAAGTTCCGCCAGGTGTGAGTTGATACTACCGAAATATTCTCGTTTTATACAGATAGTGAAGTTTTATACTATTTCCGAGCTGTGCCTTTACTGACTAGTTCCCGAAAACATAAACGTTTGTTGATGTTCGATCTTGAGACTAATATTAAGAAGCAACGAGTTCGCAACTAGTTTTTGCTTCATATAAGATACTCGATTGTGTAAAATATCGACGACGACAAATAGATCTGCCATGGAGGTAAATTTAAAAATGTATTGACGTTTTTTCGGCGCCCTTTATAGTGCGAGACCAGTACGATCGCCAAACACTCGCGTATTTGCGATGGTTGTCTTGCGTCGGTCTATACTTTGTTTGGTAAACCAATTTTCGTTGCCAACAGCAAAACATTCATACGGATACACGACGTTCGTATTTGCTTTGTATTCAAACGGATTTCAGAGTACGTGAAACTGTCATTCTGTATGCTACAGGAAAAATTGAAGAAAAAAAAAGATGCGCAAAATTTTCCCACATCGAAAACGTCTCCGGCACGTGTATTTTAGTTCGAAGGAGGCGACTTATTGAAGAGACAGAAAATCGTAGAAAACTGATCAGATAATTCTAATTTTATAACAAAGTTGTAAACCTAATCCGCTCACATATACTAATTTGAAAAACATATTCTATTAGCCCGTAATTTAGCCTACGCTGTACTGATGGTAGGATACGCTGCTTTACCGTTTCATATTATCTACTGGTTAGATTTATCTAACTTAATGTTGAATTTGCTTTTCTTCTAGTAACTTAGTTACTAAGGTCAAAAAAGCCACCTAAGAAGATCGTAACATCTACCAACACCATCGGGGCCTGAAGTCAGCCGTCAAAGCTAACATTTTCTAGGAGGTTCATCACGAAAAACAGTACGTTTTTACCTACTGTTAATGAATGCTTTGGACTAATGTTTGGCAGTGAAGACGAAAAAAGAGCTATCCACACGCTTCTACACTTTAATAAAATCCTGACAACGAAACATTTAAACAAAAAACATTAGAAACATACCCAAGCAGCATTTTTCAAGAATGATCCCGGCAACATTAATATTGATATAAAGGCAATTATAAAACGAGTAAATGTTGTAGACCGCGCGACTTTGGGCTTGAGGCCATGTTTTCGGTCTGTTCCTCAATATTAACAAATTAAAATAATCAAATTTATGAGACCACAATGGTAGTAATACGTAACTAGAACTTCATTCAACTAGCGCTAGCCTTACCAGCGACATATACAATACCAGTATGATTGTTAGTAAGTAGACCAATGTGCTTTGGAGGGCTGTACATGTCTTGGGTCGAGCGCTACCTATTTTACTTGAGTAAGCACCGATTGAAAGGTTGAATACACTTTTTAAATACATATGCCTGTTTAGGCTCGTGGGTAAATTCTCAAATTGGCCTCTACAGTTAGCAGTGCCTGTGAGAAAAACTATCGAATCTTTTTAATACTTCAATTCGTAAGAATTAATTTGTTTTTCTAAGGAACATAATAACATGAATGCGTCTAGTTTTCTATTGATTTAGTATACTAATGAACGTAATCAGAGCAAACAAACATGATTCGGACAAAGTGAGCACAAAGCTAATGTTAAATAATATAATGACATTGTATTTGTTTAATTATTATACAGTTTCACAATCTTCGAATAGCACTTTGCGACCGTCCTCTTTGTGCATTTCAAACGTCAAAAATCGAATTTGAATCATCTTCGTTTTCTTCAGCTGTATATCTACGATTTCCGCCGCTCAGCTTCGTATAACATCAGTGCTACAAATATAATGGTATCTAAATAATAACTGCAGTAATAATAATAGTATGAGTAAGGGTAATGATAATTACTATACTATCTTCTTGTTGATTCAAAAGTAATGAAAAATGTCTGTTTATCGTTCAGTAATGGGCATCATTTTGTAATGCCATTTTCGTCTAGAATTATATCATATTTACATACCCGCTCTGATCGATATTGGGTGCACTGTTTTCCACATATATGGTAACATTTGTTTTGCCTAATAAAATCAATCGTTGACGTATATTCGCATAGATAGTTTTTGTCTCAAGCTTCCGTCTGCTTTTCGCTTCTACTCTATTTTAGCGTGCCAGCCATTGGAAAGTATAGCAAAAGCTGCTTTCCGGTTCGAAGCTGTGCCGCGTTCCTTCGATTTCGAAGGAATGTAACTAGCTGACGTTGCTTTCAAGACCTCTACCAGAAGTCGACACTACTAAGATTACATTCATTTTCATATGTATAATATAATTATAGCTATACCGTTGCTTAGTTTTCTAACTAATTCTTGTAATCTTTATAATTATTAGCAATTTTGTTTGTGTACGAGTAGTATTTGGTAAACGCATATGACGGACATCTATGAGGTGTCTTTATTAGCTAGGATGACACACTTATCTCAATCATTACAATTACTACGTTATGATGATATTGTCATTATGCTTTTTACATTTCTAGCTTTCTCGACCGTAACATAACAATGATCATATCTTCGTTTTGTAAACACTTGAAATGGTCTTTCCGCTATCTAAACTAGATGATCGCATTTCAATTTACTGCGTAGTGACGATATTTTGCTGCCTTATACACACTTTGGTGTTATGGTGCCAACACAAAATAAGCAGAATCGTACAGCTCCATCATTTCAATATAATACGAGAAACGTAATCATAACAAAGACATAATAATGTAATCATACTACAATGGCTAACAAAATCGTTCAACTGTTTTCAATGTAATGAGTAATGTTTGCCTCTCTATATCTTATACTCTTATCTATATTAATATGTGTAAAGTGATTTGACTGCTCCGGTTGTGGCCACGCACTCGAGGCAAACACATGTTGCATTGAAGAAGAATTTGTTGAACTTCGGTCATGCATGATTTACTAACAGGGTTTGTCCGCGCTGTTAACGATGACTGATCTTCCATCTCGTCCCGACTCCGTCGGCATTCCTGCCTGCGTATGTCGATAGGCTGAAACTGGTCGATATGGTAATGGCGCTAGTAAGGGCTATAGCATATATGTCTGTTATGTTTAGCAAACCATGTTAGGATATTAGTGCTAACTACAAGACGCTATTAACGCGCCAGAAGCGTGAGTCGAAGTGTCCGTCCAAGTAACTGAGTACCGTTGAAACGTTTAACAGCTTCTGCAGCATCCTGGGGGTTGGCAAACGCCACACGAGCATCTCCTGTTGGTTGGTTCTGTTCGTTGTACCTGAAGTAGGCGAAGGGCAAAGCAAAAAACAAAACGACGATTAGGGTTAAGGGTAACACCGAATTAGAGGTACCGTAAGTTTAAACGATGTGGCAATATGAAAATCAAGCAGCACGAACGGCCAAGAAACTGTCTGCGATTTGACCTATATAATTCCACATGATCTCATATCGATGACCGAACTTTCTCTATATCTCATCCAGATCTATCATCTGTTGGCTTTGTGCTTGACAACTTTAAATAACACAACGAAATATATTCTAGCTTGAATTTTGCGCGCTGTGCTTTCGAACAAATACGATCAACTTGCAATATACCTAAAGAGCAGATAATGGACGCCTGAGTAAACTAGGCACAGGGTGCAATCTCATGAACATGTATGCAGTAACTATCAATTGAGTATCTGCCAACCTGCGCATAATGAGATCTTTTCGAATGTTGTAGTCCTTGAAAACTTCAATTAGGTCCTCAACACCTGCCCCATAGTTAAGGTTGCAGATAGCCACAACGCATTGCGGATTCGCGAAGGGGTCCGTGGGTGAGAGAATCGGCAGTTCAGGAAGTGCGGCCTTGACAGAAGGTGGCACCACGCTGCCTCCGTTGTGAGCACCTCCCATTGGGTCTCCCATCGGCATACCCATGCCGGCTCCCGGTCCCGCTGCTGGATATGGCATAACACCGTTCATGGGCGGAAATTGTTGATGTCCTTGCGGTCCCCTACCGCCACCACCGCCTCGCCCACGACCTCGTCCCCTGCCCCTGAAAGGTCCTCCAGCAGGACCATCAAATCCTTGTGGGCCCATCGGGGGCATACCAAATGGCGGCATGGGAGGAGCGGAAATAGGAAGGTTCATGCTATTTCGCATAAACTCTACTGTTACCGCCTCAATAGTCAATGTGTATCCATAGTATGGCTGGCCACTCATGTTCGCGACGACCGCAGCATCCTCGGCGTTCAGACATTCAACAAACGCGCAACTTGGTTCGCGGGGATTGCTGCCATTTTTTATGTGGATCTGATCCGTTTTGACACCGAGTTCGAGGCACATATCTTTAATTTGGCGATCAACGCAGTCGAATGGTAAGCCATGTATGGATAACACTGTCTTTGATGGATCGAGGCCGAAGCGGCCAGTTGGAGGTGGCATCGCAGGTAGGGCGGGCGGGTCTTCGATGTTTGAAAACCTCGACGGCCTCTTTTCGTGGTTTCGGGGCGGGCGTTGAGCTCCAGTTACTGTTCCTGCTGCAGTTCCTCCTCCAGGACGGCGTTTCTTCTCATACAGCTCCTTCGATTCCGTGAAAATATGCTTATTAGCGACTAATACCTCGACATTGCGATGCTTAATCCGTTTGCCGCATTGGCCGAGTGAAAGCTCCAGATCATTGTGAGAGGCTAGCTTAGCAAAACAGTGTCCCACACTATGTCCCGCTTGGTTGTACTCGATAAAGATCTCCGTGACGTTAATTCCACTAAGGAACTCCCTCACATCGTGCTCCGTTACTTCAAAGGGAATGCCGATAATGACCACTACCAGATCCTGCTCGATAGGCTTGGCCCGTCCGCCCAAAACGAGTCCCTGACCGGGACGATTAAAACGAAGAGAGTCCAACTGGTGCGGAGTTTCTACGTAGAATTCCTCGCCCTTGAGGAACTCAATCCTGTCAATGGACTTCATGTGCACCGGAGTCTGGCCAAGCAGCTCCCCGTCAAGCCTTTGGACAACCTTGGCGTCGTCCAGATCTTTGACATTGATAAAGATGACCGGAAAGCGAGCCTCCCATTTAAAGCGAATACTGCCATTCGGGAGGCTAACACCACAGAAGAAATGCTTAACATCGATATAGTTCGGGAGTTGCTGCATGCCCGACATTTTGAAGTGTAATGTCTCGATAGTAACCCCGTTCCCATTAGTTGTTGCTGTAGTAGAATTTGAGTTCGTCGAATTCGTACTGTTAGCGCTGCTTGCGTTTGAACCCCCGGCGTTAGCATTTGCCTGATTCTTGAACATGGGAAACACAGGAAGGTTACTGGGGGGTGGCGGAGTGGCCTTTCGAGCTGGAGTGGCATCCGGAGTCGGGAGAAGGGCGTTCTTTAGTCCGGCGATCTTAGGGACCGTAGGAAGAGTGACAGCCGGTGATACGTTCGGTCTGGGTTGGGCCAATTCAGGAATGGTGGGCAAAGCGGGAACTGTAGCAGTCTGTTGGACGGCCGCAGTTTGCGCGAGGGCTTGCGCCATTACCAGTGGATTGACCGGAAGCCCACCTTGCATGCCTTGAAGCAAATTGGTGAAATTGGCTGGTAGCCCTCCCAAGCCCGGTAAACCTATTAGAGATAATGCGGCACCGCCCAGGGCAGCAGCTCCCGGCTGCATGCCAGGCTCCCACACGGGTGTATCGTTATTTTCCGATGCTGGCTGTGATTGCTGATCACGCTCGCCAGGTAGATCACGACTGTTGCCATCTTTCATATCATCGCTTCGTCTCCTGTCACGTCCATTACGGTCTCTACGATCTCTGGATCTTGAACGGGACCTCCTCCTTCCCCCGCGGCTACGATTGTTTCTATCGCGGGACCTGCTTCGAGACCTTTTTCGGTCGCGGGAACGATCTCGTTTGCGCTCCCTTGATCGCGATCGTCTGCGATCCCTTGAACGAGAGCGGGATCTCTTACGAGGTGGGTCCTCCTTAATTACGACGACCTCGGGACTTTTCTTGGCTACTTCCAGTATTTTGGGTGCTGTTACCACTGGCAGAGGAACGACAGGGGCGGCGATCGGTGCGACCTGCGCTCTACTTAGCATATTCAGATGGGCTTGACGGGCCTGCTCGACGATTTTCTGCATTTCGTTGTTGGAGCTAAGAAGAAGCTTAATCTTTATGCCTTTGATTTCTTGGCCGTCCTTGGCCATTCCCTGGCGGGCGTCTTCGTCTGTTGCAAATGCAATGAAGGCATCGCCTCTGTCGCCGCCCACGATGTGGACCCCTCCTTCGGGGATCGACAAGCCTTCGAAAAACCGACGAATATCTTGCGAATTGGCCTCCCATGGGAGATTCTGGAGTCGAATAATGATGTGCGACATTGTCTATGTTGTGGATAGTCAAAAGGGAAGAATCCGAATTCTGAAAACCAACTTGTTTCCTTCAGTCCTAGAACAACACAGAAAGAAAGCCTATTACGATTCAATTGTTACACAAATTAAACATATTTGGACTTAGAAACTTATATACAAAATATATTAATTCAAGAAAAGTAACTATTGGAAATATACGACATCATTTTCTATTTATAGATAGGCAAATTTCAACCGCAGGAAGAAATCATCACAGTAAATGTAATAAGGGCATTTATGCCCCGTGGACTAATCATGGTTAATACAAAGCAAAGCTTCGATTTGGTTTACTGGAAATTTCAAAAGTTAACCAATATGATAAAATTCATGACGCCCAAAATATCCTACTCTATTATCGAATTATATATATTATACATAATTAATCATACATATGTATATTATTATATACGTATTATAATTTATCATAAAAATAGTAGAAATAGGCTATAATTCGTTCAGATTCAATATTCATGTCATCTTTTTGTAGTTCTGAGACTGCTCGAGAGATGACAAGTAGGTCTAGGAGTCGTGGGGCTGATTCACCGCTACATTTACGGTAATGATCACAGTCGTTACGAATCTAGATATACGAAACTGTGATCATCCTTAACATACAGAGAAAATGCACTCCTATCAATTAGAGAACCAATAAAAAAATAGCTCTAGGTAGGATGTATATCACATATCATGTAATACATATCTGTTCGTGTATTCTGATCCGCATTAGTTAAGCCCCATTGGTCGTAAACTGCTTACGGTGGTCTACCTATTCGAATTTGCGAAAAAACAATGTTGCCTTTTTCCTCCGGGCGACCTCGAAATCCGGCTTAAGTGATTGCTCGAGTATTGTTTAGCGTACTATGTGTACCTGACATGAACGTGGTATAATTACCTACTGTCTTACTAGGGTGTAAAATCCAATTAATAATGTAATTAATCAGTTTTTTTTAGTACGTATAATGATAGCCTGAAAAACGTCCGTAAGCATTACTAAATTCGAAAAGCAATCAGCGACAAAATTGCATTGTGACTGAGCTCTTTAGAAACACGTAAGAGCAATCAAGAACGTAGCCCTCATTCGAAATATAATGGCACTTTTTGCGCCTTTTTTGCGAATAATTAGAGCACCAAATTGATAGGAATGAAGCTTGGATAGAAAAAGGACAAAATTTTTTTTGTGACGAACAAATCTTCGATGATCATGCCAACTGATCGTGCTATCCGCTACCATATGAAATCTATGATTTCGTGTCGCTTCTCTGCCTATAGGTGCTCACTCAATGCAATTCTATACTTCGTAACCAAACGGAAGCTTTCATTTACTTGCTATGTTTAAGGAAAAGGTTACGCTTTTTTTTTTCCATAATTTCCTTAACTACAAGACAGCCTAATGCAACTCTACAAACCGTTCTTATGTATTTAGTAACCACTATGGCTGTTATTTCATATCATGAATTTGTTGACTGCTTATAGCATTCACTGTTGACTACGACACGCGTTGCTTGCGTGGCCCTTAGTATAATGATGCGTCACCAAAGAATATATATCCACTAAGTACTATGTAGTTCGATACCCATAATAGTCTGAGCATGAGATGCGTATTTAAAAAAACGTGATTCTATTTTTGTTCAGCCCATCAAAGCTATTCTTAATACTTTCGTTCCTATAATAATGCATACAGAGTTCATTTCCCATATATTTTCCTGTTAAAGTGCTGCACACACAAAATATACAAACTCCGAATTGTGGCTAGATAAATGGACTAGTAACTAAGCTATTAACTTGGCATTATTTGACTTTATCCTCTGCATTTAAATTGGAAGCATTTTCTCTAATAACTGGTAACAAGATGTTTTTTTTTTATGTTTACGACGGTCATTATTATTTACAACACCTCTGAAGTTTAAATTTTCAATTCATAGTGATTCATCATTTCATAGCACTAAGTCGAAAATTCTAGACTTTCGGATATTTAAGTTTTTTTTTGGTGCAGTTGTAAGCGTCTTAACAAGGACTTATTTCAGCGTAAGCAACTTCTGCATAACACCGGCTCACCCTTATTGACTTGTATTTTGATTACAGGACTCCGCATTTGAAGGAGAGTCACGTGTAGCAACGGAGATTCAGTCTGTACTTTACACGAGAATTTTCAAAGGCTTTCCAAACCTTTATTTGAATCGGGACATAATCCCCAATAAACCGAAAATAATATCCAAATCAATCACCGCTGCGATGATCGTGTTATTCATTTTTGTCAAATAAAGCAAACTTTATATCTACTTTAGTTGGAATCGACAGTATTGCGTTTGGTCGTATTAGACACCTTCACATCTTCTTTCATTTTAAATCTTGTCCATCTTTTTATTGCTCTACTTTTTAGGATTGCTATCGCGGAATATACCTAACGTCTTCGATACGCAACCGTCCTAAAAAAAATCTATACAACTGAAAGTAAGTGCCCCTACGTCGACCTAAACGGACCTTTCAAATGATACAGATTTGGCTGTTTTTGATGCGTCGCTAAAGTTTCATATTGATAAGTACAGCGTGCGATATAGCATCGATTCCCTGGATACTTTCTGCCTAGAGTAAAGGGGAAAGCTTTGCACCGGAATGTTCTGGGAAATATACGCAACGTTGAAATTACAGGGTAAAAAAGTTTGATTTTTCACATTATTACAGTTTAGTCTGGCGATTTTTGTTAAGACAATTTATAATTGTTGAATTACGAACTATTCCAGTTATTTTTTTTTCAATTTTTTCAAGAATTTTCAGTCTTTGGAATTATCATTTTCAAGTTTAACATTAAAAACTTGTCGCCATTAAGACTTTAACCGGAATGGATCTTGCTGGACTTATTTGGGGCTTTCCTAATAGATTTGTATGTTTTGAGTTTTACATAGGGCGTCAGATGGCTGACTCCCGGCACGAAAAAAAGTGTATCTATGCCAGGATTCGAACGTAGACCACTCTTTAACAAATCTAGGAGACGCAACCACAGAAGCAGCTCTTAACTTGAATAATAATGCTTCTTTAATTCCTAATCTTCCCTTCATTCCTTATTTTTTCAATTATTAATATAGGTAATTATGTGTTCGCTAATACTGAAATTTGGATCAGCGTGGCGGCAAACTTCTTATTTAGGCTTTCTATAACAACGCATTCACAGAAATGCATATTAGACTTCCAGGCTACGCCACCTTTATTTTTTTTCAAGTGCATAGCGCTTTTTTAGAGGGCAATTTCTTCTTTTTTAAGAATAGTGTGGTACTAATTAAGTCAATTTGCACAACAGTCGATGAAATCTGACCATCTAGACATATATAATTTATTCTCTTCAATTAGATGAATACCGTCCGGATGATAGGATTAATTGAAATGGAAAAAGAGGATAAATAAATAAACAAAGTACAGAATTTGTTAGGTGTGGCACGAATCAAATTTTAGAACAGACTGATGAATAACTGTAGCGTGACAGCAGGGCCGTTAGGTCACTCCAATGAGAGAACGGGATACGAAGAATGGAGCAACTGCAGTGAGATAGCCGATAAACTGACTGAATCAGGAAAATAGTACTATAGTGATGGGATGGTAGCACTGGTGCCGCAGAATCTGGACTGATCGCAACACGACATAACTGTAAATGTGTAGGTCAGCATCCGAACTATATTTCGTTAGCTGTCGTGCGAATCAAATCTCTCTTCTGCTGGTGCAGGCTACTCGACTGTAAGGCCCCATTTTCAGATTGCCCTTTTTGCAGTCCTTTACTCGGAATTCCTTCTACAGCTCAAAGGGGTTCATGTGAACTACACTTTGGTAGGCTTTTGTAATAATAATAATAAACTATGAAAACTGTTAAAATGGCTGTTGGATATTTACGTGAAGCTCTACGTAAGAGGGCTATTCTAGGTGCCTATCAAAGGGATTCTTATTGAGCTGCTATTTATGTTCCTATCTCAATTGTTTTAGTTGATAATGTCGTATGAAAGGTAAAAACTTACGTGTAGTTTTAAAATAGATATTTCGGCGAAGAAGTTTAGAAACTCGAGTGATCGTATCAATTTACCTAGGTAACGTTTCAAAAAATGATGCAAATCTGTTCCAGGGCTATTTGAGCGGGTTTCTAACAAACATCAATTGGAATTATACGCTAAGTGTAAGGTGAATCAAATCCGTTTCTATTGGAGCAAGTTGATGAAATAGTGGGTTGGGTAGGCGTTACTGGTGCAGGGTTACTGTTGATGTAAAGCTTAATGTGCATTGGGTTTGGTGTAATATTAGTAAATTCAGTCGATCAGTACAAGACCGGCGTGGGCTAAAGCCCACGACTCGTTCTGGTGCTCCACTGAATGTGAGCATAGACTTCCTTGATTAGTCAGGACACAGCACATCTATGTGAGACTGAGCTCGAGCTTCGTAAACTGATTACTTCGTACAACAATAAACACATTGAACCCGTTACATTGTTATTTACGTATAACTATCAACAGCAGACTTAAATTGCAGAGCTGATTCTTTCCATATCACGACTCGTTTTACCATTGCATTTTTGCTACGCAATCAACGCTCTTGTCACCTATTAATTCTCTTTTTTTTTGTTGCCTATTTGTAGTTGTTAACCCTAAATTAGGAAGCTGGTGCAAAAGCTACCGGTATTGAAATAACCCACTCAATTCCGTTAGCTCCTGGAACAGCTGGTAAAGGCAAGTAAGCGCAAGGTGCAAATAAAGGGTCGCCGAATTGATATGTCATGGAATGAAGTCGTTTGATAACCTAGTGTAGTTTTGTAATTTTCGCATTTGATACTTGAAGAAAGGCTGCCCGATCTGATAACTTTTTACGATTTTGCCCTGTAAACTTCAACTGGCCTATAACTACCATACTGCTTAGGGTAAATGTGAAGTTAAGCCGAGATAGCATGCTGGTCGATACTAGCTCTCACATGTTTAATGTGTTGGTCTCGCACATTGCTAGGATCTCTAGGATGACCAAGTAATTTTGGATAGCATGTATCGAAGGAAATTGTTTCAAACAAAGTCGGTACATCGTACTTGATCTATTAAAAACTGCTTGTTGGACACAGAACTTCGATGAAAAGAAGTTACGTGTCAAACCTTCTAAGCTCCATATTGTTAATTATACTGAAAGCCAAGTGGAAGCCTTAACTAAACTATGAGACGGTTTACATTCAACTGTTTCTGGCATAAGATATGCTATGGTCGCAAGTACAGTCTTTGAAATCCAGTAAACCTGTAGTTTTCTTTCCTGCTTCAAACGTGTCGGACCGCGTTGTTAAGCCGTCCTATAGCCGCGCCAAAATATCTGAGCAAAATCAATAAATATTTCGTACACGTTCAGAGTTACTTCCCTAGGTGCGTTTTTTGAACCAAAACTAGCGAAGATACGATCGCTCACAACATTTAGAACGATAGCCGGTTGAGACAGCACGCTGAGAATCGACTGTGTACTTTGTATGCCTATCATAGCCATTGTAAGATCTGTGAATCGCGGTCGTATCACGGAGAGTTTAGCTAAGCTACGCTGTGTATTACGAACTGCGTTTGACACGTATGCAATCATCAGTGATACGGTATTATGTTACTCTTAACGTTGAAACGCGCGTTCTCCACTAAGTTTTCGATGGAACAGCTGCGACCATTATACGTAGTCGGTTAGCTACCTCAAATGTGGATCATTAAGAATCTCTTCTGGGGCGGAACCAAAGGTGTATAGGCAAGCTTCAGCCGCGCGTCGATTATCGTACGCGTCCGCAATGCATTGTAAAGCATTATTTCAAGTTAAATACAATGCTAACACATCTCTATAAGGACTACAACACAGCGGTGAAGTACAAATTCGAAGCTCATGAAACAATTACATACAAAGCCCCCAAGCAGCGTTTATGTGACAAGCTCGGGTCGAGTAGCCGTTGTCGTGCCTAGCATTGTTAGTCAGGCGTACAGACTTGCGTGTGTAAAAGTTCACTCACGTTTCGCGTTTCCGTTTATAAAGAGTAGACAGTGGGACGACAGGCAAATTTAGTAGAAATTCGTGTCCAGCATTTGCGACCAAGGTGTACACGTCAAAAAACTGAAAACTATAGATCTCCTTTGGGAAATGACGGTATTCCGGAAACTCCAGCTGGGCCTTTAAATTATGTCGAAATGAAAACGCTCAAACGAGAATAACTTAAACGTAAGGCGGATTTATATGCCAACTTACATTTGGAAAGACAAAAATACGTCATCGCTTAACGGAGAGATTAAGTTTCGTTCAACGTGTTTATCCCTACACATGCAGCAAATTTTACCAAGAAGCAGTTTCTTTAGTTTGTTAACTTAACTCCTTTAGCTTCTTATTCTATGGATTAGCATAATCTCAATAGCTCCATACAAGAGTATCTACGAACTTCTATGTGCGGAATAATAAATTGTAAAAGCGGAGCAGGTACCATTATTTTGAGGCTTTATAGTTACGTCTTCACAGAACAGTAATTAGTTTTCTTTGTTATAACAATCTTACTATTTCATTATATTTGTGAATGATACATTTATATCTGTATTAATAAAATTGCCAGATGGACTTTCCGGCCAAGCGGAGTAACATTTTGCCGATCATACTGGCGTAGTCTCCATATCTTTAGTAGTTATACAGAACAGCAGTGATCTTATTCCCTGTGAACGTTCCTGAAAATTCTATCCTATGCAATCTTGCTAAGTAGCGTTCTGATATTCCGCTTACGCAACTACTGGTCTTTTTTAGGGGCGACCAACAAGTGCACAGCTAATAAGTTACACGTTACTAGCTTCAAGATTGCTAATAAAAGCAGCTTTTGTTTTCTCATTATTCGGACACCCTTGCGCTACACGGTACGGCCATTCATTAAGAGGGGACCAACATAGCCAGGGTAGCCACTTCATTCTATTTACCCATCTTTTCGCTAATTTTTATTCTATTTGACTCAGTTCCTGTTTTGCCTTTGACTAAAGCATAAGGTGATTAATGGAAACAATACAACTGCCAAACACTATCACATAAGCGATCCCCTATCGTCGACATTCGTTCTCGAATCTAAGCAAAATAAATTAGTGTTTCTCGAGTTTTACGTCCAGTACCGCTATTAAGAATTATTTTAGCCAGCCGGCCTTTTCTAACACAAAATAAAGTGTGTCTACGCTTAGCTGCGAACCTAAACCACCACGCGTCCCTAACATTAGTAGGTAAATACGTTACCCATTACGCTATCACGGGACCAATGCGAGCAATTTGGAGGGATCGAGCAGGACTATATTCCTTAGTCTTCCTATTGCTCAGGTTCTGTATCCGGCTTGTACATGTACCTGACAAAGATGTAAATAGATGATTAACTATTGATCAGATTCTTTTTGAATCTGACGCCACTTTCGTTGGACTGAAAGCTCATTTGTTCTTGGCTGTCACTTACACCGATTCAAAGCATAATTTACAAGTGCACAGTGTGGTTAAAATTTCAACTAAACTGATCACTGCCTCACCGACGTACGTAATCAACTAGTTTTCGAGAGAAATTAAAATGGCACAAACTTATTTTGCATGATCTTCGTTAACCTAGAATTAGTCGAATATTCTAAATTTACAAAACTGTCATTGGTAGTCTTAAACGGTAATAAGCACTTCTCGATACAAGACCGTTAGTATCGCTATGATATTTTCTAACAGATTTCAAGTAAAATTAAAACAAATTTCAGAGAAAACTAATGTTCGGGCTCTTCAAGCAGACAGTCCTTTAGTACGACTGTCGATTACTATCATAATTTGCATTGTTACTACTAACGTATGATGGTATAACATGTGATGAAATAATACATTATTACTATTGCATTGCTGAGGGCAAAACGTAACATCGAATGTTATATGTTGCTACATGCTGATATATTGTTTATGTATCAGCCATTCAATGCCGATTTCCTATAGTTCTGGTTGCCTTAAGAAGTTCACTATGTCGTTATTGTTCGAACGAAACAAACCTATTAGGTCCCGAAGCAAGCATTAGTAACCCCGAAATCCTTCCTCGCAAGCAGTCATTAGAAATTTTAGTGGAATAATCGCACTTTCAAAAAGATTCATTCATTCATATCTGTTACTATATACAAACCTGTTCACTAGTTATAATTTTACTTGACTACTCGCAATAATCGTTAACAAGTTCACAAAATGTATCGTCCTACAACGAACTAAAAATCTCCACAAATATACTTAAATGTGTTCCACCTTTGCATAAATTAACTACGAGATATAAACTATATTTAATTGTTTGAAGAAGTATTGATATCTGCTTGTTATATACAGCGTAAGTATCAAAGGGCACGTATTTCAGTTGCCTTAAGTACACTAAATGTACTCTCTCCTGGCTAAAGGAACCTAACTTCCATTGAATAAAGAAAGCCATTTATATCAAATATAAGAATATATATGTATTGCAGTAAAAGATAGTTATTAGGAGTAAAGTTCCATAGAACACCAACTGAAACACGCAAGGATTTCATCCGTAAAAACAGTAAATTGAGTTCTGGTCTGAAATGCTATCTAAAAAAGCCAACCGACAGCTCGCTCTAAACAAATAACAACCCCATAGTTGGAGCTCACCAACTAAATGCTTAACTAATTTTTAGTTGTTACACCGAACTATCTGGATTTTTCAAAGTACGCGTCCAGTTTTCACACGATACTTGTACTTATTGTTTCAGTTTGAAGCAGTTGTTATGTATAAGACTTGTTCAAGCTAACTATTTTCGTAATGATATACCACGCTACCATAACCAGATCATGATAACAAATAATGGACAACCACGGTGGCCTATCACTTAAGATTGATCGAATCCGCGAGGCCTCTGCCATCAACTTCTGTGAACCCAATCGCAGCTTCTATGTACGAACATCGAATACTTCAAATAAGTGTTATACGTACTAACAAAAGTTGAGATTATGTGATAGTGGATAAGTGATAGATAATACTAGGTTGTCAAGACGATATCGTGACCAAATACCAACACCGATACCAACGCTGCAAAACACAATGAGCTAAATTCGAGATCATACCTAATTTTTGTAATCATTGCAGCTATTCCCCATTCCATTACCGAGTCTAGATGCAGCTCTTTTGGATTCAGATTTTGATCTAAACTTTAATCACATCAATTACTTTATTAAAACAATTTCAGTATTTGAGACACTGTCACTGACATCTATTTAATTCGATGACTGAGATTAAACTAAAGGTACGGCTGGTTTGATTGGCAAAGGAGACGGTCCCGTGTAGAAGTCAGGTTACTCGTTTGCTTAACAACCTACCACTAAAGTCATCTGACACAGATACAAGACACGGACCGTTTCAAACATGTGGTAAAAATTGGGAACACGGATGTGAATACTTGCGTACTATGTGCGTAGGGTGAAGCAGACGATGTGGAATACAAGGCTACGAGATGTGAGGCACTGCCGGTAGCCCAGGAAGATAGGACAAAAACATATCCTAAAAACACTAGTCCCCCGTATAGATATGCCTATTTTAAGCGTATAGGTACTCTATAGCTTGATTGTCTAGGAAGTCAAGGTTTTTCAGTGACGATTTAAAAATCGTACAACGTAGTACAACTATCGACGGCAACACGGCAGCTATTGGGCTTATTCTCGAGACCTATTCGTTTCCCTTTTATAAGCGTACAAGCAAGACAAGTAAACATTGCAAAATAGAAAGCTAGCATTGTACTTTATGCATTATTATTTTTCAGCACAAATGGGAAATTCTACTCTAAGGTCAGTAGTAAAAGACGCTTACCGACATTTTCTTGGACACAGAAAAGACATTTTCTGTTAAGCGTACGTCCTGTAAATTCGATTACTAAAGTTGTTTCGCCGTAAACAGCGCCTCCTTATTACAAATCAGTTCGAGACTATCTTCAACGCTGCATTGTTGTCCAAGAACGCTGCATGTAAACTCAGACCTAACTGATGATGGAAAAAGGTACGCGTATTGTGTCCAATACCGTATTATAATAGTATTTGCCGTAAAAATACACTGCTATATACATTGCAATAGGAACCTTATAACCTCTAGAAGCGTTGATGCAGAATAAAATATCTGGCTAAGTATAGTTAGCTAACTTAGTGAAATAACAATCACATAGCTATTGTAGCTCTAGCACTATCCTGCATAAAGTTAAACTTCACATAATAGTAATCATTTTGGTACAAAACAGTGGCACTATCTTCCTATAAGATCTACAACTTCCTTGTCAACAACTTTCAGCATCTTGGGCCGGAAATGACTAAGGTTAGCACCGACTGCACCGTCAGTTCTTCGCGCTCGGTTTTCTGTAACCGTACCCCACAGCAGGCGTCATTAGCTATTCTAGATTAAAGCCGTATTGGTTATTTTATCAGGGCTATGGGCCATTTTTACGTAGAAAGTGTCTGTCCTATACGTGGCAATCTCGTTTTGTTCCGAACATTACTTCTTGATGCCACACGCATGTAACGAACTAACTGAGCTGGGAAGTCGAACATACAAAATTAATGAAACCCCATGGGCTGTGTAGTAATTATTATAAATGGTTGTGCTAATGAAACGGAAAATCCTCATGAAATTCGCGAAGTGAATAAACAGGAGTACGTTCTGTGAACATTAGCGTGGCGCCGAAAATACGCGCATCAATAAATCCACCTAGTGAATGGTTCTCACTCTGATCAATCAGTCAGGAATCGGGTCACCGGAACTCGGATTGGATAGACCACTTCACTGCCGCTTCGGAGGAATCGATCGGAGAACCGTCGTGTTGACTGATGAGCAAAAGAGGAAAATCAGAGAATCACGAACTCCGTATCCATGCCTTACACAGTCGCTGAATGGCTGGGTGGACACCCTACGCATAGCCAGCCACAGTTATAGTTTGGCTGTTGTCACACGGAAAATTGAACATTTATCGAAACTTAGTAAAAGAGATCACGTCTCTATTCTTTGTCGATACTCATCAATACTCAAATCTCATCAATACCTGTTTGACTCACTTCATCAATATACACTTATTCCCCCAGGATCGAACTGAAGTACCCTTAGCTAGGTAGTAACTCTTGGCTATGTACAGCGTCACTGTGCCGACCGGGATAAAACATATCTAAATCCCGTCTACTGTCTTAGAGCAAAACGCTAAATGTTTGCTATCAAAATCACCCTTTGCCTGATGCCGCTATCCTCTCATATTCGAACGACCCCTCCAAACTTGTACTCGTACCGCTCCTCTGAATCAAAATTCGATATCTATTCGCTTGAGCAAGTTGTGTGAATCTAGGCATATAAGCAGAATGCCGACACTTTTCGCAATCACGCACTCACTAGCAAAAAGCGTATGACTCAACACGCATTCTCTCTTCTCTGAAATTAGTCAAGAGGCAACCCAATGTCAATCTCGATTTATGTACAATTTGTTCATTTATTTCTCTTGTAACAACGAATAACAGAAGAACTCGACTATCCTTCCCATATCGTCTATCCCTTTTTCCTGCGTCTCGACACATTTTCGACAGATTTTATATATATGTTTATATACTTAATTTTCTATATGTATATATACGTATATCATTTATATATAATTATGTAAATAAAACTGTACACTCTAGTTTAATGCGGTTCGGGATGCTTGGTCAAATTCGGTCTTATGAGTATTCCCAGTTTCGGGTTTTATGACAGCCCTCCGAACCGGGCTACGAACTACTGCATATTTTTTTGTGCTTCAATAGTCTTATTACGGTTATTTTTAGTATTGTTTGTTGTTCTTTTTGTCGTTGTACTTAATTGTTGCTGTGAATTTTTAACTCTTTGTTGCTGCCGTCTTTTCCACCTGTCACTCTCCTTCGGATACGAGTCGTATTGACACCTCGTTGTTCAAGTATTTTCTGGTTTTTATTTGCCACTGTAGACCACTGCAGATTCACTCTGGTGATCTATTCGAGTCATAGCAAATATGATTTCCTAAGACCATTGCCACACACACGCGCAAGCTCTGTGTATGCAATAAAGAGAACATTGTTGGAGAACCTTCGAATCCAAGCATCGCAGGGACATAACTGTAAAATATTAGGACAAATTCTGTTACATCCTCTGCCCCGACAATGACCGCATGCTAACTAGCTACGCATATAGACATTTTGTCGGACATGGTCAAAATAAATTAAGTTATTACATAGACTAACGAATTCGCGAACTAACAAAAGCAAACGTATTTTCGTTTTTTGTCTCTTTGGCACTAAACAAGGATCTCTCAACCGTTTGGTCACCGCAGAGGTCCATCTGTCGCTCGTAATGTGGTATCATTACAGCTAGTCATAGTCAGTAGCAAAAAAATGGGCGCTATGCTGAGACACAGGCCCACCAAGCTACAATGGCCAAGTTAGTAAACCTAGGCCAACTTCACTGGGGGAATCGATCACACTGAGAAGTAACATGTTTATTCATGCTGCTATATTGCTGTTGTTGAATCACTCGCCTATAATAGGGAGTTTTTTAGAACTGAAACCTCTTGGCGACAAGACGCGCTACTATAATTGCCGGAGCCAGGATTGAGAGTGATTCGGCCACTCATTACTTTTTAATTCGAATGTTACTATCGAAACACGCAAATCGACGGCGAAATTATTAGAACCAGTCGTCAACGAATGACGGTAATTGATAGACGGTGGTACATCACACAAACTAGGTAACTTGTGCGCACTTAGATCTCGCCAAGTGTGGCAAAAGTTAACCCACGATATCGTGAAACTTTCGGCGCATACTGGTGTTGCTATCTGCTAATTACTACCAGCCGCGAATAAGTCTTAGTGCAATGGTAATTACAAATGTATCCTCATAGTGTACAGAACAGCACTTCCGTTTTCTAGTTTCATCACCACTTGCACATCTGTTTCCTATGTAACTTATTCCACTCGGCTGCACTTTGCTCACTTTGCCGATGCATCAAGCATGGATCCCTTCAGTCATTTCTCATACCTTGTACAGTTCATTCGATCAATGGCTAATTTTAATCGAGGCCTAAATCACCGTTTGTCTGTTTGTGGGAGTGCATCTCAAAGTATGGCGTATATAGGACCCATCATGTGAACCACCATAGTGGTTGATGGTTATCGTTAGGCTAACAGCTTTATGTGAATCTTCAATTTTCATTATCTTCATTATTACATCTCTCGGTTACCCTAATATTGTAACCATCTTTTTAGCTTGCTTCATCGTACTTTTCAACTCTATTCTCATATGTCAACAATATTTTCCCTAGTTGTCTTCGACATGAGCGTTCAACCGCGGTTGTAATACGATCTTTTTTTTTGATCCTTAAACGTTCTCCAAAGTGGAGCCGATACTTAAGATACGCCGTAGTGGACACCAATGTTGATGATGTTATTCTCGTTGTTGTCTACAAACCGCCAAAATCCCTCCACTCGATCCATTATCATTATTCTAGCATTGTTACTACTCATATTCAAAAAATTAACAACTCTCTCGACTATGACTTCGAGGAACCGAATATACTGTAGAACGGCTGCGTCACCGCGACCACAGCAACACAGAGGATGACTAGTGGGACAACGGCGCTTCGGCAAACCGTATTCAGTTGGCGTGCCACACCGCCATATTCTTTCGCCATTTCATCGAACTCTTTACGCATCTCTACCTTCTCTTCGAGGCAACGAGCGTAGCTTTGCTTCAGTGTACTAAGTTTAATTTGAAGGTTGCGCAACTCCTTGGCTAATTCTGTGTCGACGGCGCCAGGCGGCGCTACAGAAGGCGGGGCGAAGGTAGTCGATGCTGCTGAAACCTGTACATCCACGTTAGTCATTTTTGGTTTTGGCTTTTGTAAACCGGGAGGTTCCTGGTGGCCCGCAGTACGAAGGTCCCATATTTGTTCCTGCTGTTTCTTCAGTTCTGCGTTTTCCTTTGCGAGGGCATCCAGTTGTTTTGTTTGCTCTTTGTATTTGGCTACTTCCAGCTCGAGTTGCGCGTTCTCCCGCTTAAACATGTCTAGTTGGACTTGCAACTCGATTTTACATCCTAGATCAGCCCGGGTCGCTTCGATGAGGTTCTTCTGATCACCGAGCTCAGTCTGTAGGTCTGCTTTTTCCGTTTCGACCTTCGCTAGTTTTGCTTTAAGTTGTTGCAAGGTCTCTTCCAGCCGTACAATCTCTTTACTGTTTTTTGTCTCACCCTGAAACGAGTCGAGAGAAATTTTGTCTTCAGCCTCGCTTGCTGCATCTTCGATCGTAAGACCTTTCTCACTCACAGGTGACTCAACTTTGGGCTTATTAGCCTGTTTCTGTGCCGCTAGCTCGGCTTGTAACACAGCGATATTGTCCGTCAGTTTCATTAGCTCTTCGTGATGTTGCGCGATCTTTGACTCAAGTTCCTTTTTCTCACGTACGTGAGTTTCGAGCAGAGACTCGCTTTGCTGTTTCATTGCGTCACATTTATCGGCCATCTCTGCTAGCTGTCCTTTAAGTGCCTCATTAGATGTCTGCAGCTGAGTCAACTCCTCATTTGTGATCTTCTGCAAGTATTGCAACTCGTCACACTTTCGCAATGTCATAAGCTTCTCCTGGAGAATTGAACTGAGGGAGTCCTTTGCTACGCCCTCATACGTCTCCTTAGCTTGAACCAGCTTGTTGATTTCGACGGTCTGGTTGTTTTCGCCAATTGCTGCTAGCTTCGTTTCCAGAGATTCGATTTTGTTAAGGAGACGTTCCTCATCGATCATCGCCTCCCAGGATTGTTCGGCAGCACGCATTAACTGCTCGATTACGAGTTGCAATGACTGAACCTTATCGCGAAGAGCAGCCTCTCGCTGAATGGCGTCCATTACCACTTGTACAAGACTCTGGCGTTGGCCGCACGTTAACGAGCTGAACGCATCGCTTGTAGCATTCGGCAAAGGTCTTGCTTCTGATCCATCAGGATGAAAAAGGCGTGCCAATGCAATTACACAGCCATGCGTCACCTTCTTTGAGTTCTCAATTACGTCGACACCAAATTGCAGAATATCACCCGAGAAGATCTCGCGTGGGGACGACTCCTCGGCCCCCTTTGACAAACGATCGTTGTTGACAAACGTGCCATTCGAACTCTGTGTGTCCTGAATGAGGAACCGGCCATCCTCATACCAGAGTAACGCATGGTTTCGCGAAAGCACTTTACAGTCGAAGATTGCATTGTGCGCGGCCGGCTTGAATTTCGCTACCGAACGACCCACCTTAGCTGGTTCGCTGAGAGGTACGATACGATCATCGAATTTGTGCGAGTTTGGTCGCCACATTAGATGCGCGGTAGGTCCATTGAACGCCGAGGACAACCGGACAGAACCATCAGGAATGCTGTCCAAAAGAGACTCCGACTCCGAATCTGAGCCAGACATGTCCAGACTATCTCGCGCCATCGATCCGGCTGGCGTGGCTTCTTCTATGAACTCCGCACTTGACGGCTCGCCACACACGGCCTAAGGTTAGCACCCACAACGCATCAATACACCCAAAATCAAGTTCGTGAACAAGTCACAGCAGGCCCAAACGTCAGACTCGTTGACTAAACAGCTCGTATTTGCCTATCACAACCGTTTCTCTTATTATCTACAATAAACTGGTGATCTGATTGACTTACTATCTCACAGAAAAGATTTTTTGCTTTTTTGCCACGTCAACTGCTTCATATGTATTAGGATACTGGAAATACGGAGAGATCTGGCGCAGTTAACCCATCAAAGTCGCACTAATATCCAGGAACCTGCAGGCAGCATGAAGATTGGATCCGGATGAGAGCACCAATTACGGGAGAGCCTCATGCAGTCTTAGTACAACAGCAGCAATCAGGAAACGTAAAAATACCTACTTTTTTTATAGGTAAAGTTTTTTTAGCAGTCCTAGAAAATCGCTTCATGAAACCACCCGTTTTTTTTCGTCTTGTCTGTAAAACAATCATGGTTTGATAAAGAAGAATTATGACAAACGACTTACATCAACAGACGCATCTCAGTGACGCTTCTTATTAAAATTAAATAAAAATTTCAGTGATTCCTGATGATAGTAATTACTCCATCAGTATTTGAAGCCAAAGTCATTGAGACTAATCCTGAAATGAGCGACGCATCAACCCACGTCCTTCGTTCATGAAAAGGGTTTTTTCGGTCTCTTATAAAAAAAAGTTGCTCTTAATGGTTTCAGCCAACAACTACTTTAACTTCGTGATAGCTTGCTATTTAATGAAGAGACATGAGATGCGCACCCCGATTACTTCGTCGTGTCGGCAATGCAGATGTTACTGATGTACAGAAAAGCACCTCACCTTCGATTATACATGTAGATATGATGATTCTATAAACGCAGGTTTTGCTTCTCGATAAAACTGGCACGCCAGAAAGCACATTTAACGATCCTAATTAACTCAATAGAATCACGCACGCCTTTCTGATTCATACCTGTTCCATTTAGCAGACCAGTTAGCATGGCAAAAACATGTCAAGCAAATGCCTCTTCTATTAAAAAAAAAAAACACTTGGTGACTTTTCACCATCGACGCACCCACAACGAAACCAGGTTTAATCTAAAGCTATTTAGTTAGTGACATATGAAGATATAGGAAAACTCACTCGACTTCTAGCAGAACAATTATAGGTACTACGAAGATAGAAAGATTGAACGGCCTATAAAAGAAAATGATGAAAATTCGTCGATCCTGCAGGAGACTGGAGAAATGAAACCGTAGTCCGAATGCAAGAACTCACTCCTCAATCGTCAGAGATTTGCCAGGCCCATTCTTTCCCCATTTGGTCAGTCAAAGTTAAACCATTCTATACCTTTCCTTTCGAGCTTAAGGTTAAACCTATCTAGCGATAAGACAACTGATACGCTTCACCCCCGTTTTCACCCACAGATGTGAAGCTGTGATTAGTAACCTGTCCGCAAATGAGAATGAATAAACGGCGAAGTGGCGATATAAAGAATCAAGTTCGAACTAACTTCCACCCGTCGAGTGGATAATCCATTTCAGTATATACGTCTACGAATGTACACACTTTGATAGTGAATGCATGTTTGAAATTTCATACACCAAATATCAGAATATAGAACTGCATCAGAATCACAACGTGAAAAGTCTAAAAGACTGAATATAGATAATATACCTCTATTAGAGTCATTTACCTATTAGACTTATCTATCAATTTACCTATGATATCACACTATTTTCCTACCTTCAAAAAATAGTGAACCAGTTAGTGGCTGCAATGCTGTTTGCCACTGTCTAAGCGTTGTCTTATTTAAGAGAGCCACGCTGCAATGATGATCAGTCCGATTGCGTATTGATCATTCAGTATTAACTTGCCCTTTTCTTATTCAAATCTCTAGTATACGTCTTTGTGTATTTTCGTCATCGTAAATAGTTTGTTTGTCTGTATGTTTGTGGAACGCCAACAATCCAATTTCATTTTCAACAAATTTACCAGTGGAAGCTCGCGCAGATGAAGCAGTTGTAGACGACCTGGAACCCCACCGATGGGGTGTCAATCAACTCGAACTCGATCAGCCGACGGAAGAGGCCACGCTGTTGAAGTGCTGCTGAAGATGGACGCTGCTGGCGCCGATGAAGCTGGCGGAGACAATGGACGGAAAACCCTTTGTGAGCAACAAACGCCCCTGGGCTGAGAGATGTCCAAACGAGACCCTTATTCCCGCTGTAAAATCAGTGGCGATGGGGTCGACCACCCACACCGAAACGGATCGGATGGACACGACACCACCTCCTATTGCAGATTAGAGCACCGCCGCAAATCTTCAGATGAGAATACTCTTCCACCGCGGACAATCCCACGAAACCGGATGAGTCTGAAGGGCTGAGAGTCTACCCGAATCGCTTAGCTATATCAAAGTTCTGTCTCGTTCCCCTCTCGCTTTCTTCCCCTTCTCTCTCTAAACAACTGCATAAACTGAGCACCACTAGTTTAACAACTGGCACCTGTCTGGCTGCACCTGGAAAGAGAAAGCAAATAAGGAACATCGATTAGCGTTAGTTTATCAGATGCAAAACGGTGCAAATACATATTTATCTACTAGCATATTCACTCGTACCTATTATTCGCTTGAAACCTTTTTAGTAGTAACGTAAAAACTAGCAAAAAATGTGCACTTTTGCTTTATTAGATTCCGAATCTTGTTTTATCCTGCAATTATGGCCTTGAACCTGTTCTACCGAATTTCGTCACTGGTCAAGTGGCACACGTACAATGTAAAGACACTCTAGCACAGGGAGGAAAAATTGTACATGCCACAATGGACGATACCCAGGCAAGTTAAATCATTGTTTAGGGGGCCCGTTAATAGCAACTTGCCATGGTCCATACGTAAAGGTGTAGTACTGAGGATCGCCTTCGATATTGGACGTGGCATTCGAAGCTCCCTTCGAAAATCCGCGAGATTCGCCTTTGATGCGCATTTTTCTCTAGTATACTTATGACAACCTTATGGCTACCTCGCTACATCTAAAGCGGGCGTCCAGCTTTTTTGACTCGTAAAGTGATCAGAAGAAGTAACAACACAATTGCTTTTTTCTGTTTTTGACAACGTGTCGTTCCTATAAAAATATCTTTCAGTGGTGATACAGCATCATCAAAAGCAACAATGACGTCTAGGTTTTATGAAAGCTGAATTATCGTGATCTGAATACGGTGCGCTCAGACTTGCATGGCACTTTCGCGCCCCTCGACGGGCCGTCGACTCTAAGCACCGCAGACAAATCAAAAGTTAGCGGGTCTGACGTAAAACAATTGCCGCACGATCGACAAAAATAGAACCTCGCTTGCTAATGCTAACCTCGCTTGAACTACTTGGCAGAGAATGCCATATGAATTGATAGCGCTAGCTGTAAAAGTAACTCAAAGGACCAGGAAAACTAACGATATTGACTAAACAGCTCGTGATCAACTGTAAAGCAATACACTAAATTTATGAATTTTCTCTCGTATTCGTTATGATAATTTATACAAGGCTAACATATACGATAAAGTAGCTTCTGTATTTTCCACTTCCAATCCACGCTAGATATCTATTTTTTCTGAAAGAACCTACTGAACGTAATGATTTAGGCAACTCATACAGACAGAGCATTCAAGTTGAAGTTTTCAACTATATTTTTGCTCTTATACGCCGTCACTAAAAAAAACACTTGCTCTTTTTAGCTGCTACGAACGCTGCTGATGCTCACATTTATTGTTAACGTTATTTTTAAAAATTAACTGCGTCGGAGAGAATCAATCTGCTTTCCATACTATTGTCTATCGTTGCCAATCTCGGTAAGCCAAAGCCCATTACAGCAGCATGTAGACGAATAAATCGGTCAACACGAAAACGATGGGCACTATTTTAACTCCTAGGTGGAGTTTTAGAAAAAATACTTGAACATGCAGATAAAATGGTCTACGAATAAATAACATATTACCGTTACGTCGCTCTAAACGGCATATAACCTCCAAGCTGTGGCAGCCAATGTTTACTCATCCAAGTTTCTCTAGACCGGTCGCGCTTGCCGACTTACGGCAAGCAAACGACACCTTTAGGTATAAGCAAAGCCTAGCAGGCTCAAAAGGATGATACAGGCCCTGCTAGTCAGCACAAGATACTTAAGATCATATTTATTCAATATGTCACTTACAAACGATGACGCGTCTACACAAAGAATTCGATAAGTTTCGTTTTAAATTTAGAGATTTAGTGTACACATCGTGATATGCACGATTAACAAAATATTTTTTTCGGCTGTGCATAACGTGCTGCATACATTCTTACTGATCCCGTCTAAATTGAGCTTCAGAGCTTTAGCTACACTCGAGTGGTTCTCGATTGTATGCCAGCTACCTAGTTCGCTTTCAATAAATAGGGTCAAGAAATTTTCGATATTCAATCGGGAAGAATTCCCTTGAGGTACACAACAGCTCAACATCATAATTCACAAATTTCTATAGTTTCTCAAACTAATATGAGAAGTTAAATTATGATTGTATGGGGAGATCCTACAGAACATCCGAAAGGATGAGTTCGACTGGCACGCCCAACAATATAATCGCAGCGATAAGGCATCAAATAACAAATAATAAATATAAATAAAAATACGCTACACTTATGTAGTAGAGAGTTACGTCGCCTGGAACGTCATATCCGTTTTGATCGACTTCAATCTCACCGTTTACGCAAGATGACCACATTCGACAACCCCTTTTCAATTCGCTGATAAAATTGAGCTGTTTTAGTCGCATTGCACCATCTTTCGCCTTTAAAACAACTAAAGTCTTTTTTTCCGGTGGATACTTTTTTGTTACAGATTGTTACATCGTGTTTTATGTCGTTAGTTCGCTACGTTAGTTTTGAATGTTACTGGCGTCGTTAGCTCGATAACGGTAACGGAAAGTGACTGGTCGAATGCCTCAGCGCCGGCAACTTCTCGATTGTCAGTATTAATATGCCTTGAGACTAGAGGCAATTCAATTGATCACCTGTTGCCCAGAGCGATTGCAGCTCACTCACAGCGTGTATTGCTGCTTGGCTCACACAACTGAGATTGGTGTTCGACCCTGGATAACCAACACTCTAGCATCAGACCTTAAATATAAATCCTTTCAAATACTGTATAATTTTGAACTAAGCACAATTATATGTACATTACGAAGTAAAATGTTAAAACTTGCTGTTAACAACAGCTTAAGTTATGCTTAATAATACGCCTAATCGATCATAGCACGATACGTATTACGCAATAGAATGAATAAGGAAGAACTAAACCCTAGATGTGTAATAAGTATACTTAATAGGTACCAGGATGTCTCTCACTGATTTTGCTACAGTGATTCTTAAGACCAAAAAAGGTAGCTCCACGGCGCTCGGTTTGAATTATTAAATCTATTACCTTTCTAGGAAACCGAAAAGGAACGCCTCATTTTGCTATGGATTTTTCCGCAGTTAAAAGTGAGGTGGGCAGCGACCGATAGAATAAGAAACGCGGGCGGACAGCTTTCGTCTACCCGATTAGATGTTCCAGCCTTGTGCAACGTCCATAGTGTTATAGCAAATTCCGAGTTGTGGCCAGCCAAGTTGCAGATAAGCCACACAATGTAGGACGAAATGTTCGGCTAAGAAACATTTACTGCGCTTTCCACCCCGCCGTGGTAATATTACCGTCCTAGAATTATGTTTTTACCACATGCTTGGTAAACAATGCTAGTACACTATCTAGTACTATTACTGCTAAGAGTCAGGATAATACTGCCCTATTGATGATCATTGATACACTTAAGCGGCGCTAGCGATGAATCGAGTAGATGACAGTCTCACCTATTCGGAACTAGCTTGTTACCACTAGCACTTTTCCTCGGTCATCATCTATCCGTTGCTTTACGATTGGGCTGTCCATCCATGATGTATTAGTGAGTCAGTCATTGTCTATTGCGTACGGCAATGGATCACATTTACATAATTCTGCGCCCCAAGATCGATGTATGTGTTCTGTCCATTAAGATGCTTTGCACGAGTACCTGCGTTTGCGAAGACGGACTCGCATCAGCCGTTCTACTACGAAACCACTAACTACTGATGGTGATTGCTTAATGCTGTCGAAGTGGCAAGAGCGAAAATTACGTTGGTAGATTGCACGAGAACCACGCCTAGATTTATTTCTGCCAGTCTACTTGTACTTACGTCTAGATAAAACGCTGCTTGAACAAAAATTGAAATACTATTCTATTATACAGACAACCCCACCGAAGTAGCCAATTTAGAGCAAAGTTCAGAATGGCCACAAACATTATGTTATATGTAGTATTATTATTAATTAGTTGTATTTTATGTTGCACAATAGCCTCCCTCTGCTAGCGCCGGAACGAAAGGCATCAACATGAATAGCCAATCGTAGCTAAGCATCGTTTCCTCACTAGCATATTTAAGTAGCAAACATTTCTACTACTGTTGTTAGCATAGCACGCCAGTTTCTACCTCACCTTAGTTTGTCTTAGTACTCGAGCACTGGACAGAGTTATCGCGCAAACACGACCTATTGCCATATATGCATACATTTATGACATGTACCGGAACTAACAGTAGTGTTTGTTTGCAGCACTGAAGGCCTCAGGGAAACGCTGTGAGATACCGATTCACCTTATTGGGTTAAATTAGGAATACTATCTGTAATATTACAGTATTGTAGGTAGGAGGTTGAAGCACAGAAACTTGTGACCATACACCAGTGACAATCAGATGAATATATGTATACATATATTACAAAGGATATCTGTACAACTATTCACACAAACACCATAGGGTATAGGTTTAGCAATCAGACATATGCCAAGACCAATCGAAGCGCTACAAACACTAACCACATTAAATATGTGCCAGAATACAAGCAAATTATCTGATGGGCCATAATAAATGCCCCTTACGTCGCGTTAAAATGTCGAAGGTAAATATTAAATTCTCGTCTTTTCCGATGTAGTGACTATGAGGATAATAACCACTGCTGAAGGCAAGTGAATTAGCACACGCATGTACACGTGTACACATACTGTCTCAATCATACAAACATCAGAGGTGACAAACACCGTAGGATAGGGTTGGTTGTCGACAGCTGGCCTTCAATGAATCATGGATTAACATTAATCGATTCGTTAGTTTCTTGCATTTATCTGAAGTTGTTAGAAAACGAGGAATGCAAATAGAACACACTGTGTTTGAAACGTAATTTACGTTGTACTCATGCGTTGCGAGAGGTAACAGCCAAGTGAGTCAGACATGGCTACCCATAGCTCCCTCTCATAGCCCACTAGAACTTCCACACTTTATTTGATCAAAAAATTTGCTAGAAGTAAGCACCTGCTTTCTGTAACCGCAGCACCGATATAGACAGACAATCTCAACTTCCACACGCCAGTGAACACGTCGATACGGGGAACGCAAACAAAAAGCCATAGTTTCACAAGCAAACTGACTGGAATAAACTCCAATTGGGTCAACCACCACAACACCCCAATATGTCTGCCCCCTCCGATACAACGGGTGTTTGGTGTCGTTTGAGACGAGATCTTCACGAAAGGCGGTGCACGGCAATGTCGTACACTATTACCACTCCGACATATTCGTTAATCATTAGATTACAATAGTTGGTTATCTGATGACTCGCACGGAACCCCGTAGCTGCGCCTATTGGAGCCGCCGCAGGAACTGCGCTGCTGAGGGTGCTGATGTTAGGGACAACAATTAGGCCGATGCTGGACATGCAACTGCCGCTGTTACCGTTGCTGCTGCTGTTGTCTGTGTTAACGGACAGTAGGCATATCGACATCGACCAGCCATACCCGAATGAACACTTACAACACGCGACGGACTCGCAGCCGTCTTCGGTCGTGGCTTGTACTCAGGCCCTTCGGTTACGTCCCATTCACTGCCGCAAGATTCACAATTATTGATCGACCAGCACAAGTAAAAAGGAAGAAAAAACAACATTTTTATACAACCACTCTTCACAGACGACTCACCATTACGGTGTCCCTAGGGTTTGCAGACTGCTGCTGCTGGTTCCGTTCATACGTTAGCTGAGTGAGACCTGGATGTCTCGAAGTTGGCTCGATTGTGTTTACTGCTGGTCGCCGGTTTATTGTATCCCAGGTGAAAGTGCCACACACAACGTTATTACATGATTACGACGACTGCTCGAGGCTGACCGTCCTAAGTTAGTAGAAGTTCACGGCGCTTCCTCACCTCACCACAGGCCGGCGGCTACAATGGTGCGACGAAGTCTGGCAGTTCTTACCTGCCTGCCTACCTGTCTGTTCGTCTTGCAGCCTTCCCGGTTAACTAGCTGATCGTTTATCGTCCCTGTGCTGCTTCACCTCGCAACGATCAGTAGTTAACTGGCAGATAATAGTTACGAAACGGCGTGTACTGATTCTGTCGCTTGAACAAGTCCAATCAAGGTAAAGACGAGCAGCAGGCCCACCAGGCCAAGCCGTGTAGTGTCAACCACCGCTACTGCGGACGCTGTTGCAGTTGTACTTCAAGTCTCCTGCAGCAGTAGCTACTCGACAAATGACGTCAGGCCAGGCGTTGTGCACAGCCCACTACGACCACCAAGTGTTAGCTACCATCAGCATCACTAGCTAAACGACGACGAGCTTGTAGCGGCGTCAATTGTACCACATTTGGTACCACCTTAACGGACCACATTCGTATCAAGCGCGCCAAATTCGAGTTTAAAATTGCGTGTGTGCAACAGTAAAAAACAAAGCAAGCGAAGTCTATAATAAGCAAAAAATAGAAATAGGCTTGCCAGAAGTACCAGCGAACTGGTGCTATTATGAAGAAATTGAAATATTCAGGTTAAAATGTTTATATCCAAGATTCATAACAGCATAGGGTAAAATTAACTTGAAAATTTATATAGAGGCCTTGGTCAAAAGAAATGAGTTTGAGCTAGTTGTATAATATAACATTTGAGAGATCAGGAGTCACTGCTTCAAGTCCCACACATGCTACACAACTTGTGTGAATGAAGATACTTAACATAAGATGCCACATATATCGCGGCTACCCTAAATTTTTTTGAGTTGTTTCGGCCTTATCATACAAACTGCTTTTATAAGAAATTTACCCTCGACACAAACCGCTCATTTCCGGATATTCGTAAACCATCTAAATGGATGATATATTTACGCTACTGAATAAAAAATATTGCTGTTTGAGGTTCAGTTCGATCGTATGGTAGCCATTTTGTGAGAAGAAGCTCAAACAATAATATCGGTTTTAACAATATGTTAATAAAAAATCATTCTTGTATTGATTAAAAGGAGCACCTCTTCCCAGGCATGAGGAAAATATTTCCCTTGCCTCTTAGACCCAGCATTGCGACTACAAAAATTGATCATTCAAGTAACCTTTGTAGAAACATTTATTTTATGTTTTATCAATGTAAAAATAGCTAGATCTAATTTTAGTGGCATATTAAGCAATATGTTAACAGAAGTGCACAATCTACCAAAGAAATGACGTTTCTGGACTAAAACCTCGCGTGTCTCCTTAACTGTCGGAACGATGAAACATTAACTAACTGCGTTTGAGCGCGTGCCTTGATAACTTACCCCTTTTTCTGTTGTCTATCAACCCCATCTTTTTCTCAGTCGTTCCCTATTGACGTATACTTATTCCGATGCTTGAATACTATATCGCAGTGATCTAGAACAAAACATCGTGAGTGTAGAGACCCGTGCAACACGATCTAAGTTTAGTATGTCCTGTGGACGTAAATTGAAAACGCCTTGCCTAAATTAATTAGGAATTTCAATAAACACAATATTTATCATAGGATATTTTCGCTATGCAGTTTAAAACAGCGTATATTTAAAAATAACACCTATTGTCACTGGGCAGTGGAACAAACACTGCAGTAGAAAAATATAGTTAATTCAAATGATAAAATACTCTGTATTATAGTTATAACAGCTGCTCCAACATGATATGTTACCAGTAAAAATTAAACAACACACGTTTTTTTGCAAACTGCTCCCCTGCAGAAAATCACAAATAAGAAACGGTGAGACCAGAACCATGTTTGTTCGTGTCATTCGCAGTTTTTTGTACACAAAAAGCAATCAACAATGAATAAAATAGACTTCTTCTATTTGTGGTCGGGAGAATGGCCTGCAAAAGCAAATTCCTTCATTTACCAAAAGCCGACCAATTTTTCTAATTTGATGGTATCCTGCACATAACCAGTCATCAGTATCCGACTGCCTATGAAAGAAGTCTTTTGTAGTTTCCCGCCAAAATACATTGTCCTTTACGGCTGCTAGTCGCTCTGCAATGTCTCTTAAACGCCACAGTATGCATTTTTCAAAATTCGCTCAAAAAAATATTGCATCTTAACGAATATTTCATGCTAACACTTTAACCCACAATATTCGGTTGCCGAGTTACATTGTGAAAGGATCGACCAAAAATGAATAGGTGCAACTATAAAAATTTCGATATATTCTATATATGTGCGAGGATAGTACTATTTCGGGTTACCTTTCAGTAACGTTAAGCGATATATTAAGTTAGATCGCGTTCAGTTGGTCTGTGTTATTGGTATTCGCTTATATACAAACGGGCTGTCTGTTTCGAATGTCGTAAGTAAACACTATTTCGAAACCCTGTTTTTGTCTATGACCAAATTTTCAGAAAGCAGTGTCTTTTCTTCAAAATTAGAAAAAACCGAACAATAATTAAATAGACGTTGTTGTTGTTGTCGTTATCGTAACTTTTCGTCGGAGCGTTGGCAATAAATTAAAAAGCGTTTAGATCTGAACGCCGGTTTCTTGCAATCTTCGTTTAAGTAGTTAATCACCACCGTACCTCTATCGACAAGGCGTAAGCTTCTCCTTTGTTCGATAACCTTGCTGCGATAAGCACAACCGTCATAACTGAATACAGTTCATATCTGTCTTCGCCGACCATCAATACCTGGATGAAGTTTGAGCGCCTTCGACAGAACAGAATCGCAATTCACACTTCACCCACCAACGACTGGAGAGCCAACTCAACACACAAATTACAATATGGCCTCCGTGAAATACACGCACTGTTTTGAAAAAGATCAACAGGAAAAATCACGACAACCTTATCAATTTCTAACTGGCCTCGACCGTCGCATTTCAGTTGATCTGACTTTTTTGTCCTTCTTTTTTCTCGATTTAGATTGAGCTCGAATAGAATATCACAATGCAATAATCGCCCTCTCCCATTTGGCTCTTGGGATCAGGTCTCGGCGCAGCTTCTAGCAACTGATGATATGCTTCAACTTTCACCAGGCGCTAAGTCGCATGGGCGTCTGCACTTCAGTAGAAATTTACAGTAACTTTGCCGGGTATTCATACGTGGTTTAGTTTTTACCGCATGTAAATTCGCGCTGGGCTACCTTGCGTCGTCATTTAGTACCTATTTGAGCTAATATAAAGTAGATGCTGCTCAGGAGCTCGATCGCTGGCGCCATACAGAGAAAATGCTGTAAGCAATTGTCACCTGGTGGGGTTGAGCCTTAGCACTGGTACCAATTGCAGGCATTTTCCTTTATTTGAATGTAACCTAGTTTGCAGTATTACATATTATATCTACCTAGCCAAAACCTCAATGACTAATATGCGTGTATTCATAGGCGTTGGTGTTTCACAGCTTTCTGACATTCTGCTTCATGCATCACTCCGTTAACCTCTCCAAAAAAGAATAGGTTTCATAAACACAGAGACGTTTCCCCTGTTAAGCAGGCACGTTTAGCCAATTACAAGATAACGGGATTCGAAAGTGATCAAGTGTATATACACATTGTATTTAAATACTCGAAGTGAATTATAAATTCATCCGAAGTTAATATAAGTATCAGCTAATGAAGTTTAATGCAGATCGACCTAGGAAAGGATGCAGGAAAACAAACTGAGAGTGTTTGATTAAAACGCATTGGTTTTATCGTGAGGAAACTGAGTCGAGAATAAAGAAAGCCTTTTTGTCTTCCTTTTCTAATGCAATTTACTAACTCAGTTATGCCTTTCTCTCGTAGTTGCAAATGTTAATTTACGTTTGTTATTTAGGACCTATATAGTTTGACGACTGAAATATTTGGACGCGTTGGCTCACAGATAGCTATAGTCTATGTAACTTCAGTTCGACCGAAATGAGAAGATTTTCTTCTTCAAAGAAAAAAAATTACTATCTAAGTTTAAGTTGAGCTGCTGTCTATATATATATTTAACTTCGCGTTCTTAAAGTAGTGAACACGCCGGCATTTATCCATGAAACGCTTATTTACCGTATCGATTTTGGCACGAGTGCCTGTTCTGAATGAACAGTTTATCATAAACAGCCGTTTGTTCAGATGGAACGAGATTTGTGCTCAAGAAGCCTGCATCAGCTTCAAATGCAGTTAACTACATAATTCAAATAGCTGATCTTTGAAAGTCACCCTAATTGTGACCTACTAAATTGACAGCAGCTTTGATGGTGCAACTGGCCGATGGAAGCTTAACTCCTGTTACAATTTTTCATCTTCCTATTCAGGTCTTAAATTCCTCTAAAAAACCTATAGATTTTAAAAACATTGACAAACATCATTGAATTACCCACCTATGGGACGTGTTTCAACAGCTAACGTTTCAATGCCAGGAGAAAATAATGGCGTCTCTTTAAATTCTACCTGACCCAAGCAAGGAAAATTTTTTTATTTTTTTATATGATTTTCTCAGCAAAGATGTTTATTCAGTTTGTTTTAGAATAGACTCCGGTTAGACTTTTCGCAAAATATTTTCTATGCGATTGACTTAATAATGTTTACTTCAAGTTTATCTTGCTTAACCGTTAATTCTTATAAAAAAACAAGGTATTGGCCAAAGCGCATTCTGGACGAGAAAGTTTTGGTGTATAATACATAATTGTAGACTTCAGCGATTCCATAGTGTGAATCGATAGAGATATTCGTGCTAATAGATGACGCTTGTTATATTGCTATATATACGGCAAGTTCACGTAACGTTGGTGGATAAATGCTGATAAATATGGTAGAAAATAAATACAATGTCATTTGGATCACCGGATTTCCGTATCTAAATAAGTGTTTTTAGTCTTAGATTTGGTAACGCTCTTAAGGATTGCTTTAAACGACCGGCTTTTCCCAGCACGAAACGAAGTATACCACCCCCGATTTTTTGACCTAAGTTACCAAATTTGTTTGTCGTTTGTGGGCAAATATGTTATTATTCTGCCTTATTTATTTTTTATTCATGAAATTTGGTGGTCTATTTGCATATATACATATTATTTAAATCGAACGTAGTCACACCTCGCTGCATCTTGGGAAGCATGCGTCTGAAATAATAGTTAACGGCAACACCGGGCGAAAACTGAAAAAATGTGCGAATTCACGCATGTAATTGTTATATATTTATCAGGAAATACATTAATAAAATGAAATCGACGGTTCGTTTCTCTATTACAGTTATATAAGTCTCAAAGCCACGTCTGAAAACGATTATTTATAGTAGTATTTATACAAAATATTTTATGTTGATTACAATATAGTCTGTAGAAGCATCAAAATATCTTTGTCCAATTGCTTTAATCACTGCAGGAGATAGTTAGCGGAGAAAGTTAAGCGGATATGTTTGTTCCGCTAAGTGGACAAATTGCAGCTTACAAAATGTATCAGTGTTTTTGCTTCCCAAGGATTCTTTCTATCCGTAAAGCTTCATAAAACCTTATAATAAATTAATTACAACTGTTGATCTGGATAAGATTAATAATTGTAAAATATTAGCCATTCTAACCAAAATCACAAGTCTTGTAGCTTCAATATTGAATTGTCTGTTTCGTTTGATAATCCATTTGTCCCACGTTAGTCTACCTTGTGAGTTTATATGAAATAAAACACTCTCAAAAATTAGCAAGTGCTTACAAGCCAGTTTGAATTTAGAAAAAAAAAACAAAATAGGGATTCCCGACAACGCACAGACCTCAAAGTTGTTTAACTTTGGTTCTCACCCGTTAGAAGTGACAACAATTTTTGATGGACACAGTCCGTCCACTTTGAATCGTTGAAAACAAACAGTTTTTACAATAATAATATTAATAAAAACTGTTTTTTTTTTTCAATAACTAGAAAGCATTTTACTTTAGAAAACATTTACGTTTAACAAAAAAAATTGCATTGAATGAAACCGCTCAGGGATAAGATCTCTAGTTCCAAGTATAAATCAACAATTGAGGAATTTACATATGCAAAAATAAGTCCAATTTATAATAGCAACATAACAATCTTTAGCTTATTGGTTACCCGGTGTCTTTTTATTGAACGGTATTATACACCCGCCTCCAATAACTGAAAAATAATATAATTCGTATTTTATTTCGATTTCCTATTATTATTATACTATCATATAAAATTAATTATTATTTTTATTATTACTAATATGAAAGAAACAGTTTATTGCTATTTAGGATAAATTATGTAACAATGCAGTTCTTTGTAATTAATATTAAATTAAAGAGTCAGCCGACAGTAAATTGTTAGCTGCTTATCTTAGATAATAATCACAGAAATATAAAATTATAAATCAAGCTTTTAATAGGGTAATTATTATTTCGGGAATATTTTGTGACCTCTTTTTGCTTAGATACCTTGTTTTCCAGGTAGTTCTCCTATTTCAAACTTGATATCTCAGACGCCTGAGTTACATCTGCGGCACGAAGGTACCCAATCTGAGTCTAACAATTGTCACCCGATGCTACTATGTAATTTATAACTGCTTGTATAATACTGTAATTATTAACGGATTGATGAGGAATACTGCCCAGATTTCCGATAAAACGATACTAGATCTAAAGAGTCTTTTGCAGTAGGAAACCTGTTCAGCTAGACCGCCACCAGAATAATATGGTATACTATGGTCGAAGAGGTTTATAGTGCTTAATATTGGCGTGCCTCCATAAATTATATCTAGCTGCACGTGCTTACGAAGTCTGTAATTTGTAGCATTTAATGCATATTCCTATACTCAACGAACTGTTAGACAATTAATGTTAGCACACAACGCTAGCAGCTACTTTTTGTGTTACAATTTAGTCGTCTTTGAAAAAAGTCTCGCTCGTCAGACCACAATCTCCGTAACATAAAATCAAATTACCATTATCCTCTAAGCACTTTTTACACATAAAGACTACAACAATGCGTAATCTGTAAAATCTTGTAAAAAAACAAGTTAGCAGTGCTTGTTAACTTACATCGTAGAAATACATTCACGAACCGTTTATTACTGTGCAAAGCTCTGCAATGAGGTCAATTAACGATCGCCCGCCAGAAGTTTGTACTGTGTCTGAAGGGTAAACGCCAGCCCATCGTGCATTCGTTTGTGATTTATCTTCAATATATCTATCTACGTTTACTACTTCTCTATGTATCATGAAATCCCCGTCTCATACCTGATATTAGAGTGTTAGGCCGCGATAGGCATTTGAATCGTGATACAAATGTTTTTTTCGCTCCCCCGCTCGCCAGAAGGTTTCATTCAAAGCCGCGATGTGTGTCCGTTACGAGCTAAGGTTTGTTCACGGTAATCGGCGACACGTCCTCGACCTAAAATCCAACTCATCTTCTTTACGGGGTGAGGATGAACGTCGACGGGGCGGTAGAGGGTTTTTGTGTGTGTGTGTATCTATGTCTGGACAGACACGGTTGTTCGCCGTGTTAAACTGACAGTGGCAGCGTCCAGTTACGACGGTACGGTACCTGCAACGATGCTGTAGTGTTCCTTATCAATGCGCTGTTGCAGTGCGATGTTGTCGGAGCTGCTCAGAGTGAAAATCGTATACTACCAGGCTAACTACGGCCAGTGATTTCTGATATTTTGTTGGCGTTCAGTGGATTGCGACACTGTAGCGGCTGTCATAAAAAGGCGGTAAGTAGTGACAAAATAGGGCCGTGGTGACATGAGGCGGTGCAATCGCATCAGCTAGTTCCTTGGGTGAGTAGATGATTCACGTGCCAATAATACTGTATTCGATATGTTGCCAGTACGAGTATCACTAACAGTGTTACCGCTATTAGCACTAGCAAAAGTTCATCGTGTGGCTGTATAATTTCTCGTGCACGCAAGGTTTTTTTTATCTTTTGATGCAACTATGTTGTGTGTGATGGGGGGGGGGGGGGTAAGTGTACGCGAACGTTGAGCGATGATCCGGCATGTTCGCGTAAGCACGGTGGCCATGTGAGCGGTCTTTCCACTCAGCATGAACCGCACCCAGACGACAAACAGCGTGTCCTATTGTGGCTGTCTCAGCCCATGATAGAGACTGTGACATTAGTTTAAAGCAATACAATTCGCTATGCTGTCCTTTCTACATAACAACAGAACGAGGAAGCCTGAAGTGAGAGGCCTATCTCGAATTACCTAACCACATTGTGTTGGTATGTACGCTTTAAAGCGGCTGAAGCTGTTACCGGTCGTTTGGGCTACCTGAAGATTCACTGTCTTCTGCTTCCTATCGTGCTCGCGCCTAGTGATTGTCGAATTTTCGTCGGGCTGGATTGGATGGACCATTATCGGAGCGGTAGTCCAGGAGCGGAGTACCATGGGTGATTCGGTCGGGATTAGACGTGAAAGAGCATAGTGCTTAGGGCGACAATGATTTATCGGCTATCATTCCATGAAAACGTCCTCTTGTATGGGGATTAATGCATATACACGAAGCGAACCTGAAGCGGGGTCAACAATGTTAAATTGGTACGGCACATCAGCTGGCCGTAGTCATCAGTCCCGTTCTGCTATCCTCGGTTTGCCTCCGTGAAGTTACCGGAGGTTGTCTGACAAACGGACCACGTTGTATATGGCTTCAAACAGCGGCGGTGCAGCTGCAGACCGTGAAGAACGTAACGTTCATTTGAGGGCCAAGGTTTTGTTTCCGTCATGGTAAAAAATTATGTCGTTTAAAAGTGAAATCAGTAACGTCTTTTGTTATAACGAGCGATCGCATAACACAAGCATTAATAAGTGAAATTAATCTGTACGTGGGGTAGTTGTACACGGAATGCAGTTGGTGTTGGTAAAAAAAAAATGTCGTGTGAACATATAGAGTAGTATAGCGTAGCGTAGCGTGGCACATAAGTAGAGCATAGGTAGACGGGCAGGCATCTACCTGACCCCGCCCTTTTCTTTTATTCCCGACTACTCCATTGCACCCCACCCAGTACTGACATTACCCTCGCCAATGCAATAGAAAAAGAGAAAAATGGGTAGACCAGTTGCGAAGAAAAGCTTGGTGCGTAAACCGGCCAGTTCAACTGTAATCTGACTTGGAGCAATAGTAAAGTTACGCGTGTTGAATTTATTGGTTAGTTTTTACCCGGTGCCACAATCGAAAATTGGTGATTGATACGTGGGGCTGATATGTAAATCGTGTTTTTTGAAGAGACTCTTAAGTTCGTTCTAGAACGACGAGTAAGTCAGATCGGTATGGATAGCTTAGATCTAATTCATTCTTCTCTATATGTGAGTAGACGTCATTGAAAACGTGTAGTTATTATTGGTTTGGTTTTTCATATATTTATGATACAGACAGGGTGTCAGTTAGAAGGAAATAGAAGTAGACCAACAGACCCCAGAAAAAGAACTACTTATTTAAATTTAATATCGTGTGCACGCCCACTAGACATCTCAAGATCCAGTAACTCATGCAATAGATGGCTAAGTAGACGTTGCATCGATCGCCTGCAGCCAGCCATGTTTGATGAGGCAGCTGGTCGCAGGTGAACGGGTAAATCGAGTCTCTCTCCGTTTTCTGCTCTTTCCCTCTCCTGTGTAAGGAAACAAACGTCCTCAGACCTCCTGAGCGTCGTTGTTTTGTCTTGTAGTAGGTTTAGCTATCTGGTCATCTTGCGTCTATGCGTAAGTAGGTGTAACTGCGTGTGTATCTGTGTATGCTACTGGAGCTTCATATACTTACGTTGACGCCGATGGGTAATTCTGTCCCGGTGACGACAACGACAATGAACGCTGTGGATTTCAGTTGTTGGCTAAAACGGTCGGTCGGTGTCTTCTTGGTTGTTCGGTTCATCTATTTCCCCTTCTTAGGCCAGCCCTTACCCATTATGGCACGATGTGAAAGGGAACTTGTTTGACTTAGCTTCATGACGAGGAAAGAAATAAAAGAAGTGGAAATGTTCACCATTTGAGTTTAGGGGTACTAGACAAAGTCTGCTCGAAATAGGCGACGCTGGCACAGTATGGCGCTCGGGTGTTTGCTGCCACACTGACACGGATGTCTGTATGATCTATTAGCAGCATCGAGATTAATATCACCACCATCATTGTCATAATCGTCGTTTTGTATATGAGACGTTAAACACTGCCGCATTGACGAACTCTCTAGCGGCGACTGAGATAGGCTTTAAGAAATTTGATGACAACGACGACTGCTTTCTCGGTAATATACAATACCGTGTACCGGATTTTTGAGAGAGTGACTCAAATGCTACGGGGTAAGGGTAGCAACAGAAAGGAGCCGCTCAAGTAAGTAAAGGAAAGTGGGGTAAATACGCTGCCTCCAGCCATAGAAGGCGATGGTAACAGCAAGAGTTACGCACTCTACATCAGCGTAGCGTATTGAGTCCTTTTCTTTGGGTAGTACTGTGTATAGGCAGTTGGTAGCGCCTCCTTGCATTGAGCCTGAAAATTTAGTGAATTGTTCAACTAGTGATTAGGTTGTGTACTTGCTTACTTGTTTACTCAGCAGTGTGCACTCGCCCATGGTTACGGCGGGTAGAGTATAGCTAGATCGAGAAAAGTGCTGATAATTACTTGTTTCTGCAATCGATAAGTGAAACCTTTGAAGGCCGAAAATGTCGCCGCAGGACGGAGGTGAACTCAAAAGATATTTTCCGCCTACCAATGTTGAAAGTCTGTGGGTTTGTGAGCGCGTCTGTATACTTGCGTATATATATTACATGAATTTGCAGGAGTATTGTGTCCGGTGGAGTAGCGGCATTCTTTCCTACGTTTGTACCGTCCATGACGTGCTCTCTACCATTACCTGAACATGCAAACGCCCCAATAAGAAAGCGATACTTTATGGCAACGTTCAGTTTATTTCACGTTTTTGCCCCCGTCGCTTTGTGCCTAACTACGTGGCAAACTCCGTTGACGGCTAAGCATGTCTAAGGTATTCAACAGGTGAAGTTAGTGACGCGAGCTTTGTTTATGATTCGGTACAATTCTTAACCTACTGGTGTACTCTCCAGTAAAAATATAGAGACAGGGTTAATAATATGAGGGCTATAAGGAAAAGTTGTAAGTGGTCATCAACATCTGTAGTCTTCTCTAAAAAAAAGATGGTGCAGGAGAGGGCTAAAATGTTGCTGTTTTGTTGATATTTCTTCACTACAAATGGCAAACAAGTACCCGGCTAAATTAGTTAGCTAACAGTCACTGAAATTAAAATAGAAAATTCGCAAAACGCCTATACTGCATAACGTCTGCTCTGATTACTTAATAAATCGTCTATTACGAAAAACAGATCCGTTGAGATAACACGATTATCGATTCCATGAGCCTTAAGCCTGACCTGTAGGTACCAGTATCCTCAGAATCAACTCGGGTCTACAGCGCGGGGAAAATCCATTCGATTTAATCAGTGATCGAAACAGAAAAACACGACTACACTTGTAAAACGCAGTTATTGCTTTGATATAATAAACGTAATATTACATTTCTCGAATTATTATAGTGTGTATAGGAAAAGAAACCGTTTTTATGCCATAATTGTTTTGAAGGATTTTTATTACGTTTCGTTTTTCCTTAGTTCATTGAAGTTTTGCTATAAATAACTGCCGATATGATAAGCCCCTCAAAAATCTTTTCAGACCGCCTGTTTAAAACATAAGGGAAACATAGGAAGCTCACGCTTTGCTGCCCAGTAAACCTATAAATAGTTAGTACGCTTAGATAACTTATCAGGTTAAATTTTGATCTAAAAAAATTACCGTATTGGTAATTTATTTTTTGTCTGCGCTTTTTATTTGACTGTGCCATAATCGTTCCAGTCAGTTGCTAGGGGTAGAGTTCTACGCAATCATAGATGGGGCTATAATGCAGACCGCCTCTTCGTGATTAGCAGCGGCTAAACAAATATATGTGCTCGATATATGTATAGAGTACATATATAGAACGTCCTCCAGTATTGTTATGCGATCATTGCTAAAAACCTTGTTTATCTGAGATAAAGGTGTGCGTGAAAGTAGCCCTGGTAGTTCAACATTTTCCTACTTCCACACGCTCTTCGTTTACTTTGGTGAAAGCGTATCTTACTAACTTTTCCCCTGTTTGAACTTCTGGGTAAAACCTACACAAGCTGTTAATACAGTTCGCCCATTTATTCATGTTTAGGAAAAAGCTAATGCCGGCGCGTTCAATGAGTGGACAGATTACCGATCCTATGAATAAACAGAAACATAACATTAAAATATTTAAGATTTTTTACCTATATTTATCAGGAGGTTCTCACTAGCCGTACGCAAAAGCGAAATTTAAAGGCCTCTTCCTTGAATGCAAGAATAACGAATAAGCTCGATCAGTTTTTTTTTTGTTAAACCTTCATTTAGTAAGAAGAAGATTTCGAATGATTTTTATCACCAACAGCTGTTAAAGGCGGGACTAAGAGTTATATTGAGTTAGGTTTTCGCTCTCACTCACTTTTGATATCGCATATATCAAAAGCTATGCTGATACCTAGTACCATCAAATTAAGCGGCAGTCAAGAGAATGTTCCAAGTTGTACTCATATTACTTACTATTAGTAACCACTGTACTTGTCGTGACCTCGATTGCACCAAGTACCGTTCATAAATTTGATTTCTTTGCTGGTCGTTATTATGTTCGGGTCTATTTTGATTCCTAAGAAAGGACTTTTCCGTATCGAGGCTCCTTGTCCATATAGATCCATCGCAAGATATTAGCAGGGTTATGTAATCCTTTTCATGTCTGTTTATAGTAGAAGCTAGTGCGGGCAACAGTAGCAAATGTCGGTTGTAAAACACTTAATCGATCGAGATTAGGTGACGCGGATGGCGCCGACCAGAAACGCTTTTTGATCCGCCCTGCCTCCCTAACATTAAAGTGCGCCTAATGTTCGTCTAGAGGGCGCTGATAGACATGTGTATATGTATATATATATCTCTAATAACTGTGGGAACGTTAACACGATACGATGATAGCGATTATCAAGGTGCTATTGCTACTCATTCAAACTGAACTTCCTACAAAGTCGTGTAAATCGGTGCCTATATGTTCAAGCCTAAGTCCACTTCTTGTCAGGGCAATATTGATAATATGAGAATCTTCGTAGAATCGTAAATTTGGTCATGAAGATGTCACCGTACAAAATGTTTAATGTGTAAGCGTATTCGTAAGCTGGAAGCAGCCGTTCATCTCTGAGGACAAAAACAATCTAACAACAAACATCTAGCAACAATTAAAACTGCGTTAATCCTACGCGACTTTACTACTAATGGAAAATCACGAGAGGATTGCATAAGCGAAAAAAGTGCTGCTAGCAGAGCAGGATGATCTATAATAATTTAAAGTGGGAATTGTTATACTGGAAGCATCTCTGAATATTACTTTCCCAAAGATCGACTGTATGAATTTTTATTTTCCTTTTTTCTAGGTCCATTTACATGTTACGTCAGTTACGCTTGTGGAGCGCTACAATTTCCAGGGTTATCCTATACCTGATTTCACTTCAGACAAACAAACATGTAGTTAAGGAAACAGTCTGTTCTATTTGACGCTTTCTCGGACGAAGCGATTTTCATTATTCATACAAGTTATGTAGTTAAGCAGTATGCTATTTCGGATAACTAGATAATTTTTTCTCACACGGAAACAAAGTGGTCAAGCCGACATCGCGTAACTAACAAAAGCGTTTCTCACAGCGGATATCCACTTCCGACGCTTGTTACTGCTTATGTACGCTGCCATACGGTTATGATAGTCGTGTGTAACATCCCAGTCGAAAACAACTTTTGCATAAAACGAAGATACCGACCGATTGCGAGACTCAATCCCAACGTGTCATTTGTGGGTATCTGAGCTTAGCTGCTGAACGAGAGAGCCAATAGATTAAAAACGAAATAAATCAAATACTACATGACATATGTGTCAACCCCGTTGGATACTGATGTGGTAGTTTGATTGATCTTCTCCTGGTCAGCGTTCATTATCAACTATAAGCTTACAGTCATTTCTCATAAACGGAACTTTGATACTTCCTTGCCGATAGCCGTGAATAAAATACGGTGGCAATAGTGTGAACTACTGCAAACCCGTATCAAGAGTTAGCGTGATGGGGATTGCTGCAGTGTCCTCGTAGCGGAACATTTAATTCCATTTTATTGCATTATTATTAAATCAAATACGAAACATAGGCAGCATAATTTTAAATTTGATAGTGCACAGCACTGATCTTCTGTAGCTAACACTGAATCAAACCAGACGATAGGACTGATGTGCATCTTGGAACTAGTATGGCTTTTGATATCTTCTTCACAAAATCCCACTTCACAAGTATATGTCATGCCTTACAAAATCTACTTCACTCGAACTACTGACAAAACGTTTCTTTTTTTTTTTTTGTTTTTATATAGATAGTTTGATGAATTCGACAGCGCAAGTGTGTTTTAAAAAGACTGCATTTGATTTCTTGCGTAAGACAGCATTAAGTTTCGATGTTTTCTTCGTATATTTTAGACCCGTTTCTACTAAAAAAAACGACTCTAATGTAAACGTTTTCGAGTTGCTGTGTGAAAGGCATAAAAATGCCCAGATTTCGATGGCCTAGACGAAAAAATGTCCCTTTGTCCGTAGCTTGTTGACTGGACTCTGACGGTAGTGAGTGCGCAAATTCGGATCATCTCTGAGATAACTGTGTCTGGAAACACGATCAATTCAGTTTAAGGGGACAGACACAAAAGGAAGCTTACATCTGACGAGGCAAAAGAACAATAGAGAATGAGTAAAAGTCAGTCTAATATAAATAAAAAAAATCCGATACTACTCGTAGGCGAGCTTATAAATGAAGGTGCAAATCTATCTGTGACGCATAAGGTAAATATAAAGATTTACACGCCTATAATATTAGACAAAACGGTACCTTACAAGACCACAGCCCTGAGTAGGAAATGCAGATCGATGCAAACTGAGAGATGAATAGCTGCGTGAACTTATGACGATCTGGAGCAATATAAAGCGATGGATTCAACAGGTTGGTATGCTGTCGGAAGTCTTGAATGAAATATAAAAGTTGAAGTTGAAACGGCGTATCATTGATTCAATTCATTCAAAATAATATACAGCCAATACTACACCATGGCAAAAGCAGCTGCCATTTAACAGGTAGTTCTACGCTTTCGAAAAGGTTTATGCATTATATTTTTTTTTCGTTTTACTGTCACGTCGCTCCAAGTAGTGAACCATCATTTTACTCTTGATATACGATGCTTATGTTAGGTCAATAGAGCTGCTTGCACGGATCTATGTAACTGCCATAATAATCAAGTTAATTAATCGTGCTGGCAGTATCCATAAAATAGAAGCCATATTGAGGAAGGACGGCCGGTTTAAACGGACTGAATTTTGCGTATAAACGTCAGACGCAGTAGTTAATGACAAACCCGTACTTTGTTAGATTTTCTCTCGTTTGTTGTGCTGGATACGACAAAAGTCGATAGTCATAGCTACGATTAGATGGATGAGCTATATGGTTACCCGCGTAGACGTTATTCACGGTAACCGGAAAAGTTTCATCTTCAGCTGGAAGTTGTTTAAGATCGCCTTGATTCCGCATCATCTATCGCCATGATGCATAGATATATAAAAATTGGCGGGCCAATTTTGCTTAGTTGATGCCTTTTCGTCAAAAAAGCTCCACACTGTATTAGTTAAAAGAATGAGGTATAATATATATGGTTGATAATGTGGTAATAACACGGCGAGCGTATTTGCTACCAATGTATTTTTAAGATTGGTTTAATTACGAATTGAGTGCATATGCAAGAAAATTAACTTTTTTTCATTCACACAAATTGTGTAATAATTGTGTGGGTGTAAATGCTTACGTGGCTTTTTATATGACATGTATTTTTATGAGAAGTGTTCGGTCCGTTTGCCAAGCCAAGTAAGTACAACTTAATTAATTATTGGCGGACAACTGGACTATATTTACCGTAGCATATGCGTGTGTCCTGAAACGAACGAAAGCCTATGTTACCTGTACAACGAAATGCACAGTGCATAGATGTTTGAAACATGGCTCGACCATGTTGTCGTATAGAGAATTCGGCCTTTGGTAATTTTGACTAAGATACCTTTCCTGATCATGTGGAGTGTCGACTGATCATTTGTCATTAGTCACAGCATTATATTATTATTGCTATTGTATTTCTTAGGTGACCAGATCTGATCATGCCATGTGTGTAGTTCTAGTGGAGCCGCTAGTACCATGTAAAAAAACGATGGTTGTAAAATTTATTTAGACATTTTGCAAGCTTATTTTTAGACAACCTTGACAAACGAGGACAGGCGAAGACTATTTGATAACTACGCTCAGTGACAAGCAACACTGCTTTGAGCGTAAGCGCCTATTTTCCGAAAGAAAGCGAAATGCGTTTCTGACGCCGCGTAGATATTCCTCCCGATCGACATGTGTGACACAGAATATAATAAAACGGTCCATAGCGTTATACCTCGAATATGGTCGTCTACAGCGTGCGGCTATCTGTGTACAGATTGCATCCGAGAGCCCAATAAGCCTGAGAACAGGTATCACGAGGCCTGTTTTTGCCAGTTGCAAAAAAATATTTCAGGATGTTCTATGGCAGCGCACATGTAAATCGTAGAAAATGTCTTCATGCGATTATTATTAGATGATAATAGAAATCATGGAAGTTATTTGCATATAGGTATCTGCGCAATAGGATCGGATAAACTTAGTGGGACGGTCACCTGTTCGTCAATGTAGTGTATAATGAGACGTTCTTAATATCGAAAGGGGTACTACGGTTCACAGTGAAGCAATACAAATACACGGTTCTCATGTCCGTCATTATCAGCGTTATTGTGGCAAGCAAGAATGCTTTAGTTTTCTTTATCAACAAATAATGTAGCCTGTCGAAATCAGGCTGCCTGTGCCCACAGTGAGCGGATCCTTTGTATCACTCGACAGTACGCTCAGCGTATTGCGATTCGTTTCTACGTATATGTGCGTAAACGTTTGTGGCTATTTGTTACCCAACCCGCATCCTGATACGATGCCGTAACGACGTTATGCAGAGGCGATGATTAAAACAGGATAAATGAAAGGAACAAATCGGTTTACTCGATGATCACTATGCCATGTGAGAGGCCCCGTCGATGTGGCTTAGGTCCTTCTACCGTGGGATAGTTTCTGTGGTGGCCCCATATTACTATATAATCATCCTGAGCAGTAGTAGCAACAGTAAAAGTTGCTGCAGCTGGGTTAGCAACGAGATGGTAAATATGGACTCAAATCTTTATACAATTTCCCTTTACTTACCTCAGTTTATGTACAGTGATTTGCAGAGGCAATTCCAACACTCGATTATAACGATCGATAACGACCACCACTTAGGCACGTCACTTTCTTAACACAATGTGAAGGCATAGCGACTCGACCAGTACGTGCTAGCAATCCGTCTTGCGGGATTATGCCGGATGTACGACATGCCTCTCTTCTTCAATTGATGTGACACAGGGAAGAGAATCGAAACTTTTTGTGGAGACGTTCCATAGAGATTCGCATTGTATGACCCCTCTATTTGTGTGCCTATCCTCCCAAACTACTTCACTACGACTGGTAATCTATGCTGTGCGTCTTACTCTATCCTACTTATAAACCTACGACCCGAATTGTCTATACATAGACATCAGGAACGACTAGAGTCCAGACAGCTTAGACATGTTTAACCCGGCGATGGTTGTTCATGCACAAGAGGGTAACATTTACTTGCGGTGTGTGCCTGCAACGGAAACAGAGTCTAGTTTGCTGACTGCAAGTTGTAGTATGATAGATATCCATGTTCGAAGAACGACCCAGTATGTCGTTACAAAGCGACGAAAAACGAATTTTTAGAGACAGGTGCGACAGACCTATCCTAAAAATTAAGATACTGAAGGTACTCACCAAGAGAGTCACCGGGTGAATGTCGAGAAGCCATTATTGTAGGAACGTTTTATTCGTATCCTGCCGCCTAAATATTGCATGGACATTGGACTGCACTCTTTCGTATTTATTTACGAGTTGTCACGGAACATTTCAACCGATACACGCCGACGCAGACGAATTTGACCGATTAGAGCGAATCGGATATGCTGACCTATCTTGAAGCTGTTAGCGCTTGTTCCTATTGCTCTATTATCTACGATCAGGTAAGATTTCGAACGTTCGGTCTGCATGATAATGATAGTGAGTTGGGGGTGGCAACTGGCGATAACTAATAGATTCTATTGGCCCTAGAGACTGTTTTAGACAGCTATGTCCCGCCTATTACATTCATCCGATTGTACTGATACCACTGTTGGCCTTCCATCCGCGCTTCTCGCATTTAGTGCTCGGCATCACGTGACCTCGGCTGAGTGCAACCAAAGGTTTTTAAATGCTTTTCGCCAGATACCGTGACTCGGCGTATGACACCTATCACAAATCCGGTACCCAGCACCGCCGCAATAGAGGGCAAAATGGACCTATTTTCTTGCGGGCTTAAGGGAGCTCGATTAAAGGTTCGCTGAGGAGAGCTTGTTCCCTTTATCCTGGTGCTATCTAAAATCAGGTAGGCTTAAAGGCAGATGACTGCAGACTTGCATAGAGTTCAGGCTCAAGAGTAAACAAGTCTATCAGAACACCCGTCTATGCTACCTGAACGTTCCTGTCATGTTTATTTCCATGCATCGTCGTGCCTTCGTATATACAGTGGTGGGGTGAGAAGCTATCGAGTATCTCGGCAAGCTGTTGCCATACGCAACAAATTTGATTAACATGGAACTGAAAAAAACGAGGCAAGGTTTCCGCCAATTCCAACACCAGCGTACTAGGGCGTGCTGTTTAAGGACCTATTTGATTTGATATTGAGTTCTATCTCAGAGCTGGAGTACAGCCAATATGATGGAAGTTGCTTGTGCTGTTGTTACCGCAGTTGCCGATGCGTCGTCTGCTTTTTGTCCAGTTTTGTTTGTGTAGTTTGAATGACCGCACAAATGTTGATGTTACTTTCGCTTCTCACTGACCACTGTTGTGCGCGTCAAGCTAGGGGTATTAATATTAAATGCAAAATTAAACTGGATTTTCCACGCGTGGGGTTTAGCTATCGGTAAAACCATAAGTGATTAGCCAAGAAACAATGGATTATTTAGTGACACTGATTAACATCCTATATCGGTTGATATTTTAAAACTTTTTAAGGTGCATTTACGTCTTAATAGGCGTATTCAAAATCGCCCGCTTATAACTAAGTGCACCCTGGTTTGCTAACTGTGAAGCATTCGTGAATTTTGCATGCGTTTCTAGATACATATTTGCTTCACAACGATTTCGACATCTGGTTTTGTATAAATGATGAATATTCGTCTCTGCGAATTAATCGGAAGCCACCCTGCTACTTGTCATTAAACTCATAACTCTTCACTCGATTCATGTATATGGCACAGGGCAGAAGTCTCTTTGCAGTTTAAAGTCTTCATTTGCTATATATAGGTGTGTATTTTTATCGAGTTCGCAGACTGCCAAGAGACTTTTGCCAACCCATTCTGTGTATACAAAGTAGGTGCAGGGGCAGACGCTTACCTTCTACTCTTGTTCTCCCGCTCTCCTAAAGCTGACTTTTATTTATTTCCCCTTTATACATGCAGCTATCAACATAGTTTACTTCCGCCTACTTACATAGCGCTCTAACCTCACCAATTTCTGCCATTCAGCCCGCCTTCGATCTGTATTCACCTTTTCCTGTTGTTGCTGCTGTTTGACTTGTTATCGTTGCCGATATCATTGTTACTGTTACCGTCATTACTGCTATCGCCAGTTTTTTTTGTCATCAACAATGTCTTGTTTTGTCTCTTTCTCTCTGTCTTTCTGCTTGTCGACCGATATCTTCATTCGGTGGCTGGAATACGAACTGCTTTCGTCGTTCGGTGGCTCGCTGTACGACGCGATCGTCACTGCTGCTCACCACTCTGCTTTTGCATCTTTACTATTATGGCACTCGCGGCGCTTCATCTTTTTACGCCTATCCGTGCGGATGCGATCCGAATCCTATGGTGCGGTTATAATCTGTACGCGGTTCCGCATAAAGTTCCACGCAGTGGTTCCAGTTGGAAATTGTGCGCCATGTTGTGATGGTACTGCTGCACGGTTCGTCTGAATGGGTAGGGGCCTCTTGCACTGAATTATGAAAACGATAAGGTTTTGCGAAATCCTAAACAGCCCGTAATGACAACTCTGATTCCGCAGACGAAGTCGAAGCACCGGCAGTAAGCGCAGGAGGTGACGAAGTCACTGCCGCCATCACAACTTGCTGTGTAGACCTTTTGTCCGGCAACGGTCATAAGAACTACTGTAACAGCAGAACCCGCAACGATAATACGACCATCTATAACGGGTGCAACAGTACCATTCACTGCAGCTGTGATAGAAACCGGGATCGCATTGGCCGCAGCGGTAACAGCAGCGACAGCAATCACCTTATTGTTATTTTGGGTGGCTATTTAGCATTGCCTCCTCAAAGAGCGCCACATAAAATCTGCCAGATGGGTTTGTTAGGTTGGCTCGACAATAATATAATTATTAACTGGACACCCGCAGATAACCAGGTAAAACGGGTCTCTTCGGTAACCCACGTCGACTCGACGTCGACCGTCGTTACGAAAATGGATCCAGCGCAGGATCCGCCACTTCTACTAGGCGAACAGCGATCCTGGAAACGGGAATGGGCCGCATTGAATATCCTTTTCTTCGTCAACCTTATTAACTATATGGACCGAGTCACCATTGCGGGTAAGTAGACCGCGATTTTTCATCTCTTTTATTATTTATTGTTCATTTATTTAGATTTCCTCTAAGTTAAGTGGAATATATTAGAAAAATATGTCAGGATTTTTCAACTAGATTCTAGTATTATGTCGTTGTCGATGATTACTCGTAGACCTAGGTGCTAATATTCTATCTTACTATTAATAAACTTTTAGAGCGTTAAATTAACCATGATGAACATCAGGAAAAGAACGGCTGTTATTGTTTGTATTCTAGCCTTCTGTGTCTTTCTTGATCAGTAGTTTTCTCTCAAATGCAGGCAAGTTTTCGCTCTCCTTTTATCGACGGACCCACTGCCCGTTATTCTTTGCCTGCCTCTTTGTCCCTGATCAGTGAATGAGTTTTTTAATGTTTCGCCAGGTGCGCTTTGATAGAGGTCTGCGGCGCTCCTTTTCTAGCTGATAAAACATATTTCTCTATCTACTGATGTGTAGTTATGTTTAGTTTAGTTAGTTTGTAATGTGTAGTTATTTTCGTCGAATTATTTGTTCGATTTAATACAGCATTTTATTCTAATTTGAGTGGCAACAAAGGTCCCAATGGTGTTTCTAGAGTTTTTTTAGGGACGAAGGATACCGTTAAGCACATAGATAAATCTGAAGTCATCAGCACATCAACGTGTTCAATTGGATTTCGTATTAACCTATTTTTCAGCTCATTCATTATGTGGTAACAAACGGTTGTAGGTTTGAACTTTAGAGTTTAAGCGTCATCTAAGTTGCAATAACATCCAGCAAGCGTTATTAGAGTAGTACCTGTAATACAGGAGTGATAGTGTTTGCCTACTAAACAGGGACATGTGAGAGTGTGAACGCTCGAAGCTCGGTTTCGAAAACACGCCCTGTACATTTCGTACCCGCAGTTCTCCAAGAATAAATATAACTTGTTTTCGCACATCCTGTTGTTATTTCGGATAACAGCGGTCCTCATTTTTTCGAAATTATCCGAAGACTTGCTTCGATCTTATAGCCAGCAAGAAACAACGATGTTGAAGAAACAACGATGCGGTCTTATCCTAATATATAATATCTAAGTCTTCAGGCAGACGATTGGCGCAAGAAACAGGAGCCATGGCAATAACATAGCCAACCGTATTATAACAGCCGTCACCAAATAATGATTTGCTTTTTCCTTGTTCCGGATGACACTTTTACCAACAAACGATCCGCGATAAGACACCGCTGCCTCGATATGGCAACAAGGCAGCTTGCGCTCGCAAAGATCGTTTTATAGACCTGTGGCACCTTAGTTTTCTATATATATATATATATATAATGAAGAATAATAGATCTATCTGTAATAAAAATAAACCAGACAGCGTTGCAGTCGAACGAGCCGCGGGGTGTAATTGGCAGCTATCGTCATTTGTGACTGTCGCCGCGGTAGATGATGCCGTTCTTAGTAATCTAACAACCAAGCAATAGAGTAAGAGTGTAATTAAGACCTTTGCCCTCGGTTCCGGTTTCCTTATTATTAGATTCATATGCGTTCGTCCCTTGGAGGTTCTCGTTACAACGACCTTAGACGTCGCTTAGACGTTAACAATAATCGTGATCAATAGTCGACTGACGATTGTAAAGCAACCAAATGAATCCTGTCAAACGATCGGGGTTTTAGGTGGGCTAAAAGATCTTTGCTATCTGCTGCTTTACTCAGATCATCTGCTGCTGCGAATGTTATTTCAGGGGAAAAACACGGAAGGGCTGCGATTATTATTCGCAGTATTTTCGCTACCAGTCGGATATTTGCGTTAACTGGTTTGTTGTTGTCGTCGTGTCATCTAAAAGGTGCCAAGAGGCACTCGAAGCGAGCGGCAGTGGCGCGCTTGCAATTATTCTACACGTGACTGAACACGAATGTGATCACGCCGTAGGTAAATGGTATAACACTGTGCCAGTTATTCCGGCGATAGAGGCTCTAGTGGTGTCCTTAAAGCCATATGTATGTAGACTTGAGCGTCAGAAAAGGTTGATATCGGTAATGCGTGATTATGCCATAGCACTGCTAAATCTGTAATAGGCATTTAATGTCCACAGTTCTCGCAGCGACGAAGTTTTCCTTTGTTAGGGGGTACACGGGAACTGGCGGATATAGGCCGGACCAACGAGCCCATTTGTGCTGACGGATACGCTGCAATCCACAGCAATGTGATGACATGACCTCTGTCACGCCATATACGGTATCGAAGCTGCGAGTCAATGGAGAAATGCTTGCCTATGGTGCTCAGATTTCCGGTTTGTTATGTTTGCTCATAGACGAATCTGCGCTCACTATCGGTAGGATACCCGTATGAGTTAAAAAACCATTTTTTTTCAAGTCAACCTAAATTTACGCTAGTGTAAAAAGGCGCAGGGTAAAATTTTCTCCGGTATGTATCGTTCCTAGGACACATTCAGAAAATTGCTTAATTTGTTTTGTGTATCATCTTCGTAATATTTACCTTTCTCATAGAGTAAAATAACCTCGGTAATGGAACGTAACTTAATTTAATCAGAATATTTGAATACGTATCGCGTGCTGCCGGAGGTCTTTTGAAGCCTTCAGGAATTTGATTCTTGCATCTCACGTTGCGTTCCCAAATCGAGAAGAGTCTTGCTTAGGGCTAACTCAGCAACGAAGAAATCCTACTCTTTGTCATAACTGCCTACAGAAGACTTGAGGTTACGTTACTCGAATAAGCAGAAGCATGGTCAATGGCGTGGTAAACGAGTTCGCTCTTAAGTTCCCCAGCTATACAAACACGCAGCCCCCGTTCGAATCCATCTGGCTTGTTGCTAAATCACAAAATGGGCTTATAATTCTGCTATAATAATAAAATGGGCTTACCCATTCTGCTTATAATGATACCGTTGAAGGCTCGACGACAAATACGGTTACGTACGCAGGATTTTGAATAGATTCTAGACGGCCGGTGACATGATTACACTATGAAAACACGAAGATGACCTGAAGAAAGGCTGCACTTACATAATCTTTTATGTTTACATATATAACTAAACTACTGGACTCGATTTTTGAGATTGTCGACTTACACAGTAGCTGCATGATCTTAGGGAGGCCCTACGTGAAGAAGATAAATAAACTACTGTGCTTACACTGGGTCAAGATTGAAATTAGCGTAGCTTTCTACTTGTTATTAGCTTTAATTTCCTTTTAAAGGCTCAAAGTTCGTCTGTAAAAATTGTTCTTGTTGATCGAACAAAATCGCAGCTTGATTTACCCATCTCAAAAACTTTTCGGTAAATCGAGATGGGCAGAGAACCTCCAATTTTGACATCGCCTTCAGGTGGAATGGTTGTATCCTAGCCTGATTTCCGATATTGCGGGTCCTCTACAGTTCAGCAATAGCATCTGCTACCGCTGTCTCCTCTGCAGTTCCATCATTTAGCTTTTCCGTATCACGTCGGTGAATGGCACGAGCAGCGGTACTCATGGCCCAAGATTCTTACAACTCTTTATATTATTCACTGATGACGTCATCGCACCGTACGAAGTTTGGAGCCACTGAAGTTTCGTATGCCCGCAGAAGCGGCTGGCCTATCCTATTCTTCCTCTGTTTCTCTTCCTTACAACCTGGACAAGGATAGCGCTAGAACAGTAAACGGGGCAATCATCAGCCACCGGGCCACCTTCCGCAACTACATTGTATCCTTCTACTTCTGCCGTTACGCACTTCGTTGACTTTCTGTAGTAGGCGCAGTCCAGAGGAATAAAGGGGCCTCACATAGCTATTGCTAATACTTTAGTTGGGGTATGGCTGCAACTACGAGTACCCTTGATGAAAGCGTGGACTGGCCTGCATGAACCCTGGGTTTCCTTATGCTATCCTGTTTATGGCCTGTCGGCCCTTGTTTTTCCTTCAGCCGATGGATGGATTCATCGTCGCATTGTACAGGTTTACTGCGTCGACAAAGAATAGAGAAGTAGGATGAGGGAACTGTATGGCATAAAATGGCCTCAACTAGCGTCGCGTGTCAACCGAAAGAGTGAGAGAGTCGAGAAGTAAGGAAAATGGGACAGACTCAACGCAGCTTAATGAACGCAGATATCGAGCATGCCGTAGTATGTACTGCATGCATTGCAATGTTCCGTGCATGGACAGGAATCGACGTTGATAGTTGACTATATGAAATACATTAATAATCACGCACGATGTATGGCGCAGTGGTTAGGCCAAGATAGAACTGATCAGAGTAGCGGTTGGGTTGTATACTTGTTATTTGTAGTGCTAATAGTTATTATCTAATGATAACTAGAGGCATGTGTGTTTACATAAAGTGCATCCTATATCACTAACTTGTCTCACCGGAGCTAAGAAAGATTGACTTGGAAAGTTACGACGATGTTTATTGGCATGTCGTAAGGGAATATCAATATATGTCGATAGTCAACGCCATGCCACTACCATAGGTTTTTATTTTTGATCATATAGCGATCCTTCGAGTTACATATCCGGTAGGTGGATTTCTCACAAGCCACAGCCATGATCCAGTGGTCTTTCAAGCCGGGAGGAACTTTTTCCTCAAATGGACGGACGGTCATGGGCGTCTGGTTGCTGGCTAGCCAGCCCAGTCATAGATAGCCGATTAGCGTTTTAAGCACCATAAGCATCTCATAAGCAGCTGTCATGCTCGTATGGTGTCTCTTCATCAATAAAAAACATTCCGTGATTTTTTTTATGTTAACGTACGAGTCGAGAGAGCTTTTCTTACTACATAGTTAGCTTTTGTTGCTGAAGGCATTCGGACGACTGCTCTAATTCCTGTTACTGGCACGTGCTTAAGCGATAGCCTCTTAGCACGCAGTAAAGTCAGTCAAATATTGTCAACATACTATCTCGGTTACGTATTTCGCACCAATTGATTCACTGGTTCAGCTGAAGGCCAGCTTTCAAATGGCCTTTGTTTCCATGGAAGAAGGCTTAGAAATATATTCTCGTTTTTATTTTATATCGTATTTTAAACAGCGTTTCTAATTTATAATTTGAAACACATTGACTTCTTTTTTTAATAGACAGCTGCATGCGTAAGGCCTTCGTATATTTTTGGCGGACCAGGTTCTAAGTCGGCAAAATGGTAAAGATCAATTGCTAATTTTCAGCCTTGTATTTCTACGATATATTATATAATGTATTGTATATCAATATTTTATCCAGTGTCTACCGAGCGTTATATACAGCTTTAGCCATGTGGCTTTTATCATAATGAATGTATGCAAGATGCCAAGCACAAGCTTTAATACTACAGGAAAGCTATAAGGATTCCTCTTTGAAAGTAAAAATTCATTTTCAAGGAGTGATCGAGGCACCTACACATACGGTGACTATGCACCGAGGTCGTACATATTCTCCGTGACAATATTGGCGGCAAATGGCGTCCCGTTTTCGCACGTATAAATGTTATTACTCAATATAGTTTCAGTTCATTTAAGATATATTTGATTTCTGCTTCAGTGGATAGAAGAGTTTTAAAATGTATTATATACAAATCTAAGGTAATTGTTTCCTTCATATGTTGGCTGGTCAATTTATTCAGAAAAACATATCATGCAACGCCAGTATAAGCTTTTTTAGAAGGGTAATATCAGAACCCTTAAAATGGCAGAACATTGCTAGATATAGCAAGTACCGGCTCTATAAGACTCTGCGTTGGTTCCGGCTGCATAAATACGTATATTCATTACTTTTATTGTCAACCTTGTAGTATGCGGGCACCATAATCGCATGGTCATCGAAAATTCTACGCAATTATCGTTGACGTTCTCTTACCCCGATACGATGTTACAAACTACAATTAACATGTACAATTCAGACGAAATCAATAGTCGCTCATTTCGATATTTGGTAGGTTTACTTGATTTGATCGGAACGTTTTTTTAATAGAATTTCTCCATAACGAAATTGCGAAGTAAGTAGAACAAGTATGATTTGTGCAGTTTCGTTATTATTCGAAGTATGTTTTTTCGAAATAATTCTGCGTCAAAACAGCCAGGTTTCGATGTTACGAAGAAAATCTTCGACAATCTTTTCTATAAGACACTATAAAATAATAGTTAAAACGCCTAAAAATAAATTTATAAAAAATCCCGATTGCAAGTACTCCTGAATGCTGGTTAGTGTACGTATGAAAAAATAACAAACAATATTCGCTAGCTGTTGGTACAGATTGGTTCTGGGCTTTGAGAATGAAGTAGCAAACAGCAAGCTGTGAAAGGGACGACCCCAACTTGGTTTAAATGTTCTACCAAGCCGATTCTTATACGGTACCTAAATTTTCACTCTGTTTCCAAGAGCCGGAGGTGTGCGACTTCAAATAAGCGGTTTTCATAGGAATTAACGTGGGCTCGAGGCACGGATGGCTTTAATCAGCGACCAGCGTTGCGCGCCAGTGGCCAAGTATGTAGCTGAGGCTATATAAATAAATGTATGAACGGACGAAAGATCGCTGTATACCAATGCTTTTGTCTTAAAGAGATGTTCAGTGGCCACGTCATTAAAAATTTGATGGCGTGGATACGCCTATTCTCGAGGCTACGTTAAAAATATCTTTCGGTAAAGACATTATCTCGTTGACTGATTGATTCATTCGATATTATGTGCTCTCATAGAGACGTACAAAACGATAACGCATAAGTAAAATGACGTTTGCTTGGACATATTTGCAAACAGTCATAATAACGAATCGCGCTCTGCTGTCATTCGTAGTCGGGCCAGCGGCGACCGCTACACGGCAAGGTCCGAGTAATAATACGAAAAAGTTTTATGAAATTAACTATGTATATATATACGAAATTTTATTTGAAACTCCTTTACTTCTCGCCACTTAATAAATTTCTTTCAAATCTTACTTACCAAAATAAGCACTTTTAATTATAACATGTCATACACATTATACACAATCTTCATCTACTTTTTTCAAATTATGATGCACATACGCAGATTCCATCGATTTATATAGACGTTCGCAGAAAATTATTTTTATCTAGCATTCATAATTCAGTTCAGGCCTGAGCAGAACCATATCATCATGTATTACTTAAAGCAGTAAACAACGTTAGGCACAGTGTTATCTATCGACGCCTATTCTCATTTAATGTCAGAAAAAAAACTGCTACGATAGACGGTTGAGTGGTACAAACGTGTAATTGCCTCTCTACAGCTTTATAAAGATTTTTTTTCTGCAGCTCTTGCTTATTTTCGTGTTTAGTCCTAGGTAGCTCTGCTCTTCTTGGCCCTCAGATACCTTCGTTTAACTATTTGCTACCATAAAGCCGTCCCAAATGCCACATTGGTTTACAGCTGGTCAGTGGGTCAGCTAGGCGACAAGAGAATGGTGACAACGCTGAGAAGTGGAAAAAAGCCCGCTACCGATGGGGATCGGTACCCACCAAAAGAAGACAGATCTTTCCGCTGTTTAGCCGGCTGTCGGCGTGTATTATTTGTCGTCGGCGTGTATCGCCATGCGGCCTTGTCAATGGTCGAAAAGGCGGTGTGTCACGTGACAAAACTATGTGCAGACAGCCCCTCTAGCAAACGGAGGCTTCCATCTGTCCATAACACTGCAGTGGGCAGGTACAACCAAGCACGTTAACTTATGAAAATCGTTGAGAAATGTATAGCGACAATAGTCGACACGATGGTATCGGTTCCGCATGTCATTGTTTGAAAAAATTTACTATGTTTTTATATATGGTATGGATTGATTGAGTGCGGTATTAAGACTAATGATGTAATCGTGGGACACAAGGTTAGCAGCTTCTTAGCCTGTTATATTGGTTAAGCATGGGTTATAAGTGTAAATATTTTATTCCTCTAAATGAAGGACAGGTAAAATTCTGCGGATTTTTGCGACTTAGTTTGTCTGATGATTTTCGAGTCCATTGAAGTTTTGGACTCAAATCATCAAAATATGGGATACATTACTCCTATGAGATTTATCTAAAGGTTGCCTAAAACTGTTAATACTGATTATCTTCTTCGGTCTTCTGCAATCTGTTAATCGCTTGTTAGCACGACAATCGCGACATACATGGTTAATACACATGGCTAACCATAATTAAGCATCTTAGTACATAATCCTTGGATTTCCATTACCAAAAGAGAAGGTTCGTAGCCATGTCATTGTCACAGACTCCCAATGGCCGTTTGGTCAATGTCTTCCGACTTCCAGAGATAGCCAAAAGGCCAAAGGAAGCTAAGGATGTTCACCTTTTTCATTTAAAATCTAGGTCTAGGGTAATAGTCATTATTATGATTAACTTTAACTACAAGGTTACGGTAAAGTCAGATCGTGATCCGTAATGTTACGACGTTGGAAGTGCAGTAAATAAGCTAAACAAATGGAGAAGACAAATCGTTGTGTATAGTTACATATGTACATCGATCGATTGATCAAGTTAAGAAATATATCTTCTGTGTGTACTATAATGAAATTACTCTCCTTTAAATTTATCAGTAGAATATCAGGTCTTCGCCTTTCAGCCATGTTTCATCGTTTGTGTTGTTTTTCATCCTTTTTTGTGAAACTTCTTTTTTCAGCCGTCTTATCGAAGGTAAAAAACCAGTATGGTCTCGATGACAAGAAAAGTGGATTCTTGCAAACAGCTTTCGTCATATCATACATGATCTTTGCCCCAGTATTTGGTTATTTGGGAGATCGATACTCGAGGAAAGTTTTGATGGCAGGAGGCGTTATCTTCTGGAGTATAACTACACTTCTAGGCTCATTGCCTCCGGAGGTATTCTATAGTAGATTAAATGAATTAGTCTTGCATACTTTACTAGTTATGAGTTTGTTTTGAAGTCATCCCGTATAGTAACCTTAAAGTAACTTTTAAAGAACAATTCTTATAAAAATTGTGCTTTATTATTTTTATAATGACTCTTCAGAGTTGATTAAAAAGAACAACTTGATAATATGTTTATTTATATTTAAAGAAATATATATATGTATCGTATGAACCACCAGCTCGAAATTTAAAATTATTCAAATTTTAAGGGCTAATTACTTTTCAATTTTAAGCCCTACTACATGTCGATTAACGAGGTTTCCTAGAAGCACGTAACGTTCTACTTTCATAATACTTTAAAAGATACACCGCTCGCACACTTTAAAGGTCTGTCACCAAAACATTTTATGTTTTGGTTCAAACAATGTCTATGAAGTCGGCGCTTGATACAGTTCCCGGAGACGAAATTTTAGTAAAACCTATAGAATATGCCGCATTTAGTTGGAACAATACGATAGAAAAAATCTGCTAGCATGGATTATGGAGTGGCCCAGCTGGAATCGATCGGGTAATCAATTAGTATTGCATGAGGTTATAATCTGAGCCTTTGCTGTTCTTTTTCGTGTTTAATGACCTACCACTCTGTGTTCGAGATCCGCTGGGACAGATAGAAACGCCGCTGTAAGCAGGAGATCTTGTTGTCTTTTGACGCGGATTAGGCTAAACTGTTGAACTAAATGGATAAGGCAGAAGCCGCGACATCAGTGTTGTTTTCTACAAACTCCACATTAGGCAAAAAGATTTTTAAGCGCGTGATTTGAAGCGCCGTAGTCTTGCTCAAAAGTGACCAAACTTCGCAGACCATATTCACAGACGGAATGTAGCGTTGTGATCGTCAGGAGTGTAGTAATATGTACAACTTTAAGACTCTACATGTGCATGGCGTTATTCGAAATAAAAGTGGTCCCAATTGCTTCTTACGGAATTAGACTTGTTTGAGAGCACCTTTCACTAAACCAGGTCGAAAATTTTAAGCGAGTCAGACCTTCGTTTTAGAGGCACGCCATGGGTACATGTACCTTCTATATGATACATCCCTATTTGTGGCGACGTGGATTTAAATTTCATATTATCCCTGTCCACTTGGAGCTCATTAGCAAGGGAAAGAAAGATAGCGAAGGTCGATCCTGACTTTTGGCCTGGAAAGGGCTGCACAGAACGATCCACCATGCAGTTGCACGTTTTCTAGTACATAGGTTTCATCACATATCACGTGCGACGGTAAGTTTCCTTTTGCTTGGGACTACCTGCACCTGCTCAGGATACGGTGCAATATACCCCAGGTGCTATATAACGTCATGTGCTGTAATAGTTATTCGATGGCCAGGTTCTTCGATCGGGCAAAACGATCTTAAAATCGAAAATTTTCGTAGCTTATTAATAGCAATCCCAAACAGGAATAAAAGGAATTAATGCATTAACATATTAAACATTTATTGTTCACCTTTGTGTTTCTTTCTGGCACATTTTTACGCGACTCTTTCTTGACAGAACTTTTTCTTGTTTCTTGCGTTGCGCGGTTTGGTTGGCATCGGCGAGGCCTCGTACTCAACTATTGCTCCAACAATTATTGGCGATATGTTCCCCGAAGATAAGCGAACTATTGCCTTGGGGATTTTCTATTACGCTATTCCAATCGGGTCCGGTCTGGGTTACATGGTAGGCTCGTATATCGCGATATGGTCGGGTAAATGGTACTGGGCTTTAAGGATAACGCCGATTCTCGGAACAACAGCGACGCTGCTGATCTTATTCGTTCTACGCGAGCCGCCTCGAGGTGAAGCTGATGGGGGAGTGCACATTTCGACCACATCTATTATCGAAGACGTTAAAGACTTGGCCGGCAAGTAAGTATAAAAAAACAAGTGTCGATTTACCCTAAAGTTGAAATATAGCCACATTGGGCTCTCCATAGTTATTGCTGTCTGTTGGGATCGAGTGACAACAGCCACATGAAACACACGTATATATACCATCTATGGGGTCAACCATCCAAAGGGCTATTCTATCAGGGGTTGCCTAAGCATGTATGAATTAGTATAATTTTTAAGTTTCTGCATTATGTAAATTACTAAGGCAGCACAAAGATAGTTCACTTTTATGTGTACGTCGTTATAGTAATTTTTGTCCTGTCCTATAAAATGGTAGCTGTGATAGAGAAAAATAATGTACGATCCAGCTCATCGACAAACAATACAGACGGAAATAATTTAATTTAGTACTCTTATATTGAGATGTAAAATTGATAAAAATTGACCCTAAGAGATTCGTCTGTGTGTTTTTAGCATGTCTTATATCTGGTCAACACTGGGCTTTACTGCTGCCACATTTGCTCTTGGTGCAATGTCTTGGTGGGCTCCGGACTTCATAGAGCGGGCAGAGAGAATCCGAACGGACGACGTCGATCTTGGAAGGTGAGTGCAACGCAAATGTTAAAGCCGGTCGAATCACTGCTATGCTTCTTACAGTATTTTTTTCGTTCCATTGCACTTTGAGCCACCACTCCTAGACTGTATATTGTATTAGCAAAGATTAGCTATTTCGAAAGCTGAAAAATGGCGGAATTCATATTTTGGGCCAAAGAATGAGTTACCATATGTAGCCCACCTATTGCTGTTCGTGTATTAAATATTGTTCTCGTATAGACCTAGCGTATAGCAGCTTGTCATTGCTCAGTGTTCTCATCTTTACTTATGCCTATTACATTAGCATTTATGATCATTATTTTCAGAATTAGTTTTATTTTCGGAACGATCACGTGCGTCGGTGGAGCTACCGGAATTACGTTGGCAGTCTATTTATCGAAGGCGCTTCGTGAACGTTTTAATCGCATCGACCCGGTCATCTGTGCCGCTGGCCTAATATGTGGGGTGCCGTTAATTATGAGCGCTGTATTGTTAGAGAATACGGCACCTCTGGCTACGTGGTTTCTCTTCTTTATTGGCCTAACGTTATTATCGCTGAATTGGTCCGTTGTGCCTGACATGCTTCTATACACAGTGTTGCCAACTCGGAGAGGTACCGCGTCAGCAATACAGATCCTCATCTCACATATGTTCGGAGACGCAGCTAGTCCATATATCGTCGGAGCGGTAAGAGGAAAATGCAATGTGCGGATGTTAACGCGCACATACTTTCAGCTAGATGACCACGACTTATCAGTGGGGCGTAGAAAAGATATACAATCGACTAACTGATTTAAAAAAAAGGCTTTAAGTAAGTATTTTTTATGTCGTAGAAAACGTATAGAAGACATATTATTGGTACATAGCAAGCCTATTGTTGTCGAATATGGCCCGTATGAAGCTAAAGGAACCCGCGTATACGCTGATAAGCATACTTATATTCCAATACCGTCAGTTGCATCGTAGATCCTACAATTAGGTGTCCAGGGATGATGCTACTGTGTAGTGATTGGTAAATCGTTTTAATAAAAAGCTTTTAAGAGCTATAGCTCTAGGCGCTTACTCACAAAGCAGTCACTGAGGACTGTTTCTCTTCTTAGGATGGTTATTCGATCATAAAACATTTCAGTTTTATCAATGTGTCTCTTACAAAGATACGGTTATGCATGGGCGTGTTTTTTTTTTTAACAAAGAACAGCTTTTTGGTCATTCACGTGATAGTTTATCATCAACGGTAGTGCGGTTTCTCGTTTTTAGCTGCAAAGAGTTGTAAACGACAAGAAAAGGGGACCCCGTTCAATTGCTCTCAGCACGACTTTCACGTGGGTCTGTCCCACTTTTCCAAATATACATTTATCCTGTTGGACTACGTTCGCATAACACCTGACATTTCTGTGGGTGTACTTCCTATACAAACGAGAAACATTATTACATGTAGACTTCTTATATGTTACGCTTCCCCTATTCGATTCTTTCCAGTAGACAACAACTGTACAAGAATTAAACTTGTATTAAGCAAAATTAGATCTATTGATTTTCTTATATCTGCAATAGTAATCATTACCATACTTTGCCAACTTAATCATATATATCGTTGGTATAATGGTATTTGTTGATCTGCTTTGTCGGGTATGTTGGTGATCATTTAACTTACAGATATCAGACGCAAGGAGTACAGATATGACGAATCATGAGGAATACTTTATCGCTTTACGAAACGCCATGCTGCTACCTTGTGTGATCCTCGCCGTTGGTGGCTGCGTGTTCATTTTCAACATCTTTACGATTCTCCGCGATAAAAAACGCTGTCAGAGGCAGTTGCAAGGTAACGTAGTTCCTAACTGAGAACGCCAAAGACACCAGCACGGCTTTCCCCATCATCCGCACCACGATGCCATATACGCAATATAGAAAATCCGTCAACCGAACAGGCGAAGCTGGATCTAACATTATGACTATGAAAATAAACTCCCCACTAAAATCATCCAGATTTTGGCGTGCCTTTCGCTAATTAATCAAACGATCTCGGAAAATGAACGCTGGCTAAACATTTTCGATAGATTGGAAAACAGCTCAGATTTGCTTGTGGCACCATCGTGTTCATGGTACTATTTTAACGAAGCTGCTGCATTCAATACTTTGTCTACCTGATCAAAAGGCGTGTTTATAATAGCAGCAAGTTGAGCTGGTCGTAGCGGTCAAAATAATATCACCTGCTCGTGGGACTGGAATGACGCGATCAAACTCAGCGTAAAATCCCTAAAGGTGTTAAAGCCTCTAGTATTTTTGAACAAGGGGTCACTGTCAACAATCGTATCTGTGGGTAGGTGTCAAGGTGTCAAGCGGTTAACATATATACGTTCGGTGTTTTTTCTAGAATGTCCTCCTCTGAATCGTATTTTTGTACACTAGATAAATTAAACACTGTTATCTATAGTAACTGCCGGTTGCTTTTTACGCCTACTTATATAACTCGTTTACTAATTAAATCTATGTGTGCTTACCATAGGCTGCCTATGTGAATATAATAGTATGCCGAGCTGCTAACACAGCGCTAGCCATTAGATAACCAGAGTGTCAGACTCTCGTACTAACAACATATGGAACTTCTGCAGGAACGCCTAGTTGTAGTAAATCGTCGCAAAATAATAACGTTTAATATAATAGTGGTTTGAAATAACGATAACAATGGAGCTTTTTTTTCAAAACCACGATAATATTTTATTCCCTGTCATATAGAATTCTGGCCTGAGCCGACAGCAAAAAACAGGTCAACAAAAAACATGGCCACTATACATGCGCTGGGTAGTCGCTTTAGAGTTTGAGACGGACATTCTGAGTACGTTTCCAGCATTTGTTCTCAGCAGTGATTCCATTGATGAAACGATTGGAGCTCTACCATCCATATATAGGTGACGGTCGCACTTGTGCGTGTCAATACTAATAAGTGTTTGAAAAAAGATACATCAAACTAAGTACTTTTCCCAACGGCAGAATTCACGATCGTTTCGGTTGTTTCACATCTATCCTAAAATTGTGTTGCCCAAAGCACTGCATTACTCCTGCTACCGCGCCTGTGATTTCATTATCACACAAAATTTTAGGGGGCTTCAACCGTAAGCTATATACACCCCTTTAAAGGAACAAGGCAGACACATTTGCATACGCGTAAACTGGAGGAACACCATTTCAACAGGCTAAGCTGTGTACATATAGATTGCTACATTTGCTGTTAAACCCAATACAGATATATTTGATAGATGTGAGTGTCCAAGGCGACAGAACCTTGCAGATGTATCGGCAGCTGTGAATTTATGAATGGTTTTCTGTTGGCGAACAGTCCTATTTAGTTTATGAAAAAAAAAAAAAAACAGAAAGAACGAGGCCGATTTCCCAGTACGTTTAAGTCCAGCTAGTTGTCAAGCGAGTTATGGGTGTCGTATGATAAATCCTCATTTCATTTTTGTCCTGACAGATTTTATGATATCACTCTATGATTTAAACATTTGTGGTTAACTGCGCAAAACCTTTTTAAAGCTATCTGTGAGTTTTGTTTCTGTTTGAGGTCTTTTCGAAATAGAAGAATATTTCCGCAGTAGGTAAACTAACCAATCGCTATGAGTATGTAATTAGAAGGTTATGAGAATGAAACATACTATTTCCTACAGAGTTACGTTTCAATTTGGGGTAATGCGAATCTTGTACACATCGAACCTAATCATAATCTATACGAATTATAAAAAAATTTAAAAAGAACTGGTTTATATTTACCCTGCAAGGGATTGCCGCGTATCGGATTTTAGGAACTAAATTCCGACGTTTGCCTGGAGAGCAGTACTGGACAAGTAAACACATAACAAAATTGAATCACATAGTTATTATCTGTATCGTAGGGGAGTCATCTGTTGTCTACTATACGATAGTTCTGTTATTTTTACCAAGCTAACACTTTACTCTGTAAGGTGTCCGAAGCATTCCGCTTATAGATATTGTAGTGGGATCGATGTGTCAATGGGTATTATTGCGGGGACGAGACAAAACCCATCATACGTGTGCATATTGCTGGAGTCGATTCAGTGTTGCCGTTAGCGTTGCAAGTGCAATTTTTTTTGCGAGCCCAATGTAAAACGAAAAAACAGTATAACTATGTGTCTTCACCTTCGTTTGACACGGTGAGCACTAATTTGACATGTTTCTAGAAAACTGAATTGATCAACAAACAGACTAATTTTCACTTCATTTTATTGTGTTCCATCCATTGTATTTTTTTTGCCGACTTATATATTTTTAAATGTTCTATTAACAATTCAAAAAGGAACATAATTCAATGACACTTGTTGCATATGTAGGTTTGCATGTAGCATGGGAGTATTTATTATGCGTGCGAGCAGTTGCGTCTTTTGTGTCGTCGTCATAGTTAATTTTATTGTTTATTTACATGTGGGTTGGCATGGTGTTGTTGCACGGTCGCCTCTTTATACGTTTGTTCGAAAGAGAGCTATAGTGGCCCAGCTGATTTCCGAGAAGATGTTCAACAGTGTCGCATGCAGTGGGTAGCGATCATAATGCAATATATATAGTTTTTGATGACAAAAGGATGAGACAGCAGATTGCCCTTCACTGTAGGACTGAGTTGATACGTTTAATGGTTGGATGGTAAAGTCTAAAAGTACTATTAGTTGCGGTACCTTATCATTTGCGTTTGTTTTCCGTGTTTTAGCTGTCTCGGTTTGACCTAGCTTTTCCGCTCCAGTCGTATACTTGGCTACTTCTATGGCTTATGATTGTGTGCGTGTTACCTGCTTTTCTTAAACGGTGGAACAGATGTGGGGTTATTTTGATTAATTGTATTTAGATTTTGCGTGTCATGTATTTGCTTGTTGTCTGCGTCATCAGTGAGTCACGCCCCGTTAGTGAGCGACGACTCTGTTTCTCAGAATAATTGGCTTCTGCTAACCTACGACTTGAATCTAAATTAGAGATTTAATTGCCGCCGCCCTCGCCTGCGCCTTCCTTCTTACTGACACGACTTAGTAGTGTGCTAAGTCCCTATTAATTCACGGCACCCTATCTCGAGAACGTCTTTTACGTGAAGTTGGTGCTTGGTTGTTCCTTGGTTGTTCTAGGCTACGTCCCGCCCGGCGAGGGTGTCGATACGAGCGGAAGTGACGATTCGGAAAATTCAACGCCGGCGCTGGGCCATCGCGGAGGTGGCCAGTCGCAATATGGAAGCCTTATAGACAATCAGCATTAACATCAGCAGACAGCCTTCTAAGGCTGCTACGACGCAAACACTGCATCGGCAATCAGACATTTCTTATGAAAATACTCCTTTTGGTGTAGCGAGCAGCTTCTACTCGTCGACGACGAGCTCTGCCGGTTGAACAATTTCAGAGCTCCCTTTGGTGAGAGTGGATTCCGTTAGCACCTTAAGCAGACCTAGCTACGGACGGTTGGAAAGGCTAGAATAACACGCCAACGGAAACGAGGGGCCCAGCTGAGTCTATGCCGGTTAACAGAATCATAATAAACCAATGTAAAGCTGTTCGTAGGGATGGAGCTCTGCGGCTGATCACCGTCCTATAAACATCTAATTATACAAACGGGGTTACTGCCCGTTAAGTTTACTAACTAATACCAATCAAATAATCGAACGTTAATGGTGCTAGCAGCCCTCCCAAAGGTTCGAGTGACCCCCCTTCCCCCTCCCCGCGAGAAATAACAAATGTCTTGTGTACACTCTTCATACGACGAAAAGCCCGACTTGCAGATCGGACAGAACCTCATCAGTCCGTTTTCGATATACGGCAATAAGTGACCGCTAGCTTGAAATAGTCACATCTATAGGAAAAAGTCCTCTTGAAATTGAATACGGCAAGCAAAAGAGTAACGGCTAACAACACATTGTTATCGACTAAAGGTCAAGAAAAGCTTATTCGAAAAGCGTCGGAAGACAAACGATTCGTGTAAACTAACAGCTCCTATAAAATGACATAAATGACGCGAATGAGTAGACTTTTGCTGATGATGATACAAATTGAACCAAAACCAAATATTGTACCAGTCTTAAACACGATGCTGCATTGGGCTTCGGTATAATGTGCGGGAGCTATAGCGCTGAAATGTGTAAACTTATCAATCATATATATATATATATATATATATATATATTTGGTCTTGTTTTATACCGAACAAAAAACAGATCCGTATTTTCCCTTACTTGACTTAGCGAAAAGTAAATTGCGGTGGAGATTTATGTGCCTTAACACAGAGTCTTTTATAGATAGATTCTTTGCACCATTAAATTGACTAAAGGCTCAATGCAACGCGGTACGGGTATTTGACTGTCACTCGAGCTTGATTTAGCTTTTACGTGAATGATTGTCTATTAGTAACGGCGTCGATTTTATAGAAGAGGCGAACGGAACCCCTTTCTACTTCTAGATGTCTATCTTCGAATATTAATTGAAAAATATAGTTAGTAAAGTAAATGTGATTAGATGCTATCTGGGATAGTTGAGCACTGAGTTTATGCCAGGCAGGCTTAAATGATTAATGGGCGGAAAGTCAATCTTTCAACGTAATCGGATTGAAGCGTAGGCAAGAACCGTTTCCTTTAGGCATAACCCGAATGAAAACTGGATAATCTGGCAATTACTATTTCTATTAACTACTATTATTGTTTTTGCTGTCGCCAACGGATAGAGCTTCTGTCCAAGAAGACAAAGGTATTCTGCAGACGAATTTCGGCATTCTGCTGTGGTGGCTTGCATCCTTCTCATGCGATGCTATTGACAACAGTACTGTTTAATGATATTATTAACG